TAATCCAACAACTCTGAATCTGTGCAAACAAGCTTCGCTGTGGAGCTCATTCACTCGGCTATGAAGTTCATGCAAGCTGGCAGCCTTCCACTCTTTGAGAATAAATCTGCAAAGCCGTAGAAACAAAGCGATTGACTACCAACTCTCTCAGCTTCCCCGAAAATAAGTCGCTTGACCTGGATGTTCACCTGTTCGTTTCGTCAATGGTGTCTAATCTGCCGAAAAAAAAAAGAAAGAGGAATAACAAAAAGCAAAATCGACCTGGATTATCCTGGATTTGTCAATTCCACTGTCAATGCTTGGACCTGCAAGGAAGCGTCCAAGGACTCTTCTTGCAAACGTCGACCCCGGGCAGCCCCTGAGTTGTCCACATGGCATCGAACTGATTTGCACTCCATGATGTGATCAACTGCAATCATGAATCAATCTCTACATTTCTACATGGGCTGTCAGATCTGAATCAAATGCAACCTCCTTCTCTTTCTCTCATTGCATCTGGAAGGCTCAAAGCGAGATCGAGCTGTGAAATGTGCCCTCAATGCATGAGAGCTAGCAGCTATCTCCGTTCAAAACAAACAGCCCAGAAGCTTTGATTCGCTACACATGTTCAATGTGATCAGGTTTATAAAAGGAGAAAAGCATAGGAAAACAGAACAACAACTTCTTGCAAACGAGTCTCTTGAAATGCGTTGTTTCGCTTCCACGGCACTTCTCGCAAGCCATTCTTCTGTGTACATCTCTTCCATGACTTGACTCTCTGTATCCTGGAGCCTCGACATTGCAACACCTTAGGGAGTTCAGCACCAGAGAGAACAATCCCTTGACCAAATCATCTCGCCAGGCACCAAGGGCACCAAACATGTACAAAGGTGATCACGTTTGCGGTCGACCAAGCGGCAACATTGCTCTTCTTCTGAGCGCTCCAAAGTCATCTCAGCCTGAACAGCAGCACTTACAAAGGACTCGACAACTTGTTTTTTGCAATTGGAATGGTGATTATGACAGCAACCGAGCTTGATCAAGCTTGTAGATCCAACTTTCTTGGTGTTAACATGCGTAAACATGTCTTAAAATATTAAGTAACTTAGTGTTGATCGTTGATTCTAGGTTAGCTAGTCTGAGAGCAACATACAGGATAACAAAGGCATCTGAAGCAAGCTCCACTAATTTGATTCGTGCTCCACACATATGTAGAGGAGATAATATAAGACTGATAACACTTCACTACTCCATCCTGCACCCCATCACTGCCGCAGTCACCCCCTTGTTGAGGATCTCTTCAACGGCATCACGACTCTCTGAAGACGCTTTTCGTTGCCCACGCTGCGCCCAACGCTACTCGCCCACCACGCAGAGCCTGGAAGTCGTTGGCCTCGGCCTCCAGCATGGCGGTGCTTCGGCTCTCCAGCGCAGCCTCTGCGCGCTCGCTGCCGAGCTCTGCGCGCGAGGCTAAGAGGGCGGATTCAGCGGTGGCCAGCTGTGCCACCTTGTAGAGCCGTTTGGGCTGACGGCAAAAGACAGAAATACCAGGTCTCATGACTTTGAACGGTTCGGCAACTTGAGATGTTGATTGATTTCATGCCAAGGCTGACCAAATCACTCGCACGCGGCGCTCTTGCCGAGCTGTATGCAAAGATAGGAGCAAAGCATCATGCTCCTCGCCATACAAATGCGGCAACACTAGGCTGAAACAAACCTCTGCGGCAGCTTCACCTGCACCTATTGGGACCCACTGCCTTTTCAGCTAGCCTCCGAAGCATGTGCCATCATCTCATTGTTGCGCGTGAGCTTGAGAAGAGCTTCCTGTCAAGTTTGGAAACAAACATCTTTCCGAACATTAGAAACAAGAAGCTACTAGTAACAAGTGCATCGCTACTAGTAACAAGTGCCTTACTAGTAGTAACAAGAAGCTAGTAGAAACAAGGAATCACAAAGAACACGCTGCCACTGCGCAAAAGTGACCGACCAGACCCGGGTGACCAGGACAGCGAGCTCCCGCCTCCACCCCGAAGCGCGCACGTCCCAAGGCCAAAACAAGGTCCACCGGTACAGCTGCTGCGTCAGCCCAGTCTTCTGCTGCTTCTTCAAGCTGCAACAACTTCTTGTGCCGCTCCTAGTCAAGGATTCTTTTTCCGGTGACATGGCTCCCATCAAAAGAGCCTCAGAATAGCTAATCTTTTTCCAGAAAGGCTTCTGCCACCTAGAGAAGAGCTTGAACCCTTGTTGCCCCTCTGGATTGACACAACAGGACGGGAACGCAAGCGTCAGTGACTCCTGCTTCATGGTGCGGCGGAAGCGGATCTCTCCTTCACCAAACTGAAGAATCTGATGTTCTGGTGTGTTCTGCCAAAAAATACTTACACGCGGCACTTACTGAATTGACATGTCAAGGCACCGAGCAATCCGCGTTTTTCCTCTTGGATCAGTTCGATCTCTCCTCGAGAACTTGGAAAAGTTCATGGATCGGAAGATGAGAGGGGATGGAGATGGTCATACAATTTAAATACCTTTCACATCTCTTACCAAATATATCCAAATGCATTCAAGTTTATTTCGTTTGAACAAATTGAAAAGAAACACTCTGTCCTTCGCTCTGAAAACGGAGCTCTGCATCCGGGCTACTGGCCAGTAGGGCCGCTGTCTAGCGCATGAAGTCACTTTCATACAAAACCATCTGCTTGAAAGCTTATTGTGACATCATTAGATGCCTTCAAAGACCTAAGTAATTGATGAGATCTGTAAAGTAACAACACATTATGTTTACTGCAAAAATCTTGCTGCAAAAGTCTCCGCGGCCTTTGCTTCCAGCTGCACTGCAGACTGTGCTTCGTGCTCGACCTGCCCCTTGCACGGCAAATGTCTATGGCACATCCGGTTTCGTTCTTTTCTCCTAGGCACCAAGTCTTGAAGAAGACAAGCATTGAGATTTGCCATCTGCTCAGGTACCTATATCTAAACTCTGGAACGGGTTCAATCTTCAATTCTCCCAAATAAATCCCAAAGTTTTCATGATAACACCGATCTCCAACTACTCTAAGGTCTGGAAAAAGCCGCCAGCCAGCCAACGGGCCGTCGTCTCAACAGGCCAAAGGGCGTCTCTCTCTCGCCTCCAAACGCATGACATCCTTGCACTGCTTGTCCACCGCGCGTGACATGAGGTTGGCCTACAACAAGGTTGGAAGGCGGGAGGCGCAGGCGGCGCCGTGACCGGATGCATTTCTGGATGTGCCAAACAAAGAGAACTAGAGACTAGAAATCATCTAGAACCTGAGAAATACAGCCAAACTGCGATGTCCTCATGCCCAACCAAGGTCTACTACACTGTTCAAGTGTGACCCCTATTCAGGACTTACCAGGACCAGTACCTATTGAATATTGCTGTGTTTGCTTCTGGGTCCGACAGGCTAAGGACGAGCGCTTCTCCTATGCATCCTTGCCAATGAACGTCTTTGACAACATTGTCATCGCTTTTGCAACGTTGCCATCATGTTCACAGCATTGTCATCACTACAACATGCCACAGCGTTATCATCGAACAGTCGTGTGATTATATTGAGGTGGGTGGTGGGGGCGGCAGCATCAGCTTAGAGGCTTTCAGAATCCGGAGTTGGAAGAGGTTCTCCCTTGCAGAAAGCTACAAAGACATGGACTTTGGGTGTGAGAAAAGACAGGCGAAACCCTGCATTTCGCGATGATGTTTGCAGGTGAAACGCCCCTGCTATTGTCCCAACCCCGGTGGAGCTTTGTTTTTTCTCATGGACACAACACAACATGCATCTCTGAAGAAAACTGGCGAGAGGTGTTCTTGTGCTTGAAGTCACCCTTGGATCGCAGCTCGTTTCAGCAAACATTGGCCTCGCGTCTGCATTGCTCCAACTTGCATCGCAGGTGCCACAAAGACCTTGGTCGAAAACCCTGGGCAATCTCGATCTGGGCAAACTGACTGGTGCCTGTTCTGCAACTTGACAACCTATGAGAGAAAAGTCGAGTCACAAGTATCATTTCATTCATGTACGGGTTGGTCAAACTTGCAGAATCCGTTCCCCAAAGAACATCGGATTTTGTTGCAATTGTGATTTGAGCGACATGTTTTGTCCACAATGAATCCTAGGGAAGCTGCTGACGGTCTTGTGTGGCCTGCAATCTCGCGGCCTGGTCATCCTGGCAGTCATCTGTCGCTGGAAGTTTTGACCCCTTATTGCAGGTACTATCGGGTACTAAGCCTTGTTGCGGGAGCTCGTGAAATCAGTCTAGAGCTCTTGAATTCAGACGCAAGAGTCCAAGCTGCTCTCAGCAAAGTGTTGATGCGGTTTCGGTCTCCAACAAGGCTGCAACTCTCTATCCAGCAATCTAATTTCTTTGAGTAGGTTATAGTAGGCTAGTGATTGCAGAACAACAGGAGAATCCACCGGCTCTGCATTCAATGTTTTGGAAATGTGGCTCCATCAATCTTCGCCTTCTGGTGAAGAAATGCCACCTCAATGATGACATGAGTCAAAATTAAGGATGGAAGGCCAATGGAAGGCCCAACCTCTGCCTACCTTAGGTACTATAGCATTGTCGAGTCCGTGTTCATTAAAACAACTTTTGTCAGGGGCGTTGCAGGAAACCGAACTCCTAGCCTTTTCCTTGTGGTATGGCCCAGCCTGGTTGGGTCTACTGTGTTTATGTCCAACTATCTACGTCCAACTACCACACCATGAAGTAGCTTCCAGATTGAGACACAACCACATGTTCCTTTCGTTTCAGTGAGGACTGCACTGGCGGCATGCAAGATCAAGTTGTCAATGGGCAGGCATTTTGTTTGTAGCCATGTGAGGATCCATGTGCTTCGAGAACTGTTGCTGATTTAAAGTCAAAAGCTGCAGGTATATAAGTCACATAACATCGTACTGTCATATCATATAGGCAATTGGCGATATGTCGATAGTCTCACTGACAAGCACTGCAAACCATGAAACATCTTTAATGCCAACTGCCTTTCTAGTCCAAGACTAGTCCACGAGCTTTCAATCATGTTAATGCTGCAAGCCAGCTGCTGCAACTGCAAGGCGATGTGTCTGAACAAATTTGCCTTGCCACTGCTACAAGACAACAACAAACTCTGTTGCTGTTGCATGCTGAATACACACACACACAAATGAATCAACAAAAATACATCTCAATGACCCGCCAACCCCGGTTCGCACTATTCTGGTCTGTACTTTGCACGGCCACAAGGTCAAGGCATTGTCAACAACGCCTAGACAGTGCCACGTTCACTTTACTATGGCAAAACAAAGCAAACATACATTTCGGTTCACATACATGGCTTTAATAAGACCCTAAACAAGAACACTGCAGCTATGATGGCTTGTGTCATCAGAAAAGGATTTGCACCAAACATATTGCTCCAAAGTATGATCCGATTCTTTGTGATTGTTGTTTCTTTGTTCTCCGCCTCGGCCTCAGCTAGCCTGTAATTGAAGCAGCTCTTCTGCCTGAAGCAGCTCTCTTGCGCCGTGAGAGCTTGGGGAAGAAGCAATGAGTGTAGGACCAAGTTCTAGAGTGTAGGACCTACACTGTAGAAGGCGCCTCTCTGAAGACTTGCTTGCATTCGGCCATCGCAGCCTGCACTATTGAAAGTGAGAATGCAGTGAAAGAACAACATGTTGCTTCGGCACAAACATCAATGGAAGCGTACCTCAAATTCCTGAACATGATCCTTCAATGCATCGTCCAGGGCCTGTAAAAGCTCGGCACCATGCTTGTTGGGTGGAATTCGCCGCATTATGCTGTTCTTTGCAAACTTTTGGAATCCAGAAGCACATGAAGGACAATTGTTGTTGTTTTTTAGAGATTGAAGAACAAATTTCAAAGGTGGATCTTGACATCCAAGCCAAAGGCCTCCGGGCTCTGCAAATCTCCCAAGTCCAGGTCTTCTGGAGAAAACCATGACCTTACAGCTTTCGTCTGAGTCTCAGTGATTCTTGCCCAAAATGCAAATGGACCGATGCTCGGTCCGGCTTGTGAGGACGTGGCTGTGGGTCAGGGACCTCCACGGCAGTCTGCTCATCCAAGCGCTTGATCTGAAGTGAATTCGTCCCGCTTTCGATCAACGGCGTCCGGCTTTCCCCAGTGAAATTCCAGGGAATGAGCAGCCATGAGCTTTTCTGGTTCTAAGTCTTGACCCGCGCCTGTGTACATGTCCAAACTTGTGAAGCCTTTGGTGTGACAAACATGGTAGGTTTACTATGGCAGTGCTACCCATCCGGTCCATGCTGAGTCCATGCCGAGTCCGGTCGTTTCTGCTCGTCTTAGATCGCCTCTCGGTCCAAGTCTGGCAGTCGAAAGCGCTTGCTGTCTAAAGCCACCAGATTTGGGCAATGCTGCCGCACGAGTCGCTGGTACCTTGGAGGGTTCAGGGAAGAGGAAGACCAGTGGATAAGAGAACCAAACGATTCAAGCAAACCCACAAAAAGTCCTTCTGGCTTTGACAGTGAAGGGATTTGCAAGATCAGCATCGGTCTATCCTTCTTGAAGTGTCTGTGCTGAAGATATCTTTTGGAAGGTGGCGGATCAGCAATACTAAGATGAAAACTCTGGCACAGAGCAAACTGGACAAGACTCTGATTTGTCCTGCGCCAAGAATGGGTGGAACGGGTGGAAGTGCGGAACTGTGTTAGTGAGGTTTCACGGCAAGATGTTCAAGCAACCAAAGCAATTAGCTTCTTGTTCCTAGTAGTAGTGGTCGCCTAATAGCGATGGCCTCCAACCTAGTAGCGTCCTTGTTACTTCACGCTGGAAGGTTGCATTGACACAACCCTGTCCACGTTTTGGAAGGCCAGGTGCCGCAAAGCTGATCCTGACTTCAGACCTGTCGGGTTCCGGGTCCAAAGAATGTTTAGATTCCCCTTGCTACCAACACCTGAAGGAAGGAGACATAAGAAAGGATGGTGGGCATGCTTGGCACCTGGGAACTCTGCACACCTTGGAGTTGGGAGCTCCACTCTTCTATGGCTTGCCCCCACCAATGTCCCAACAACGTTTCCTATCAATCATGACCACGACCTCCTTCGGCCCTACAAGGATCAACACAAACACCGAGCACGATCACGATGAAACCGATGGAAACCGGGGCGCGAGGGGTTTCAACATCTTACTCAGGGCTTTCCTAAAGCAACGGTCCGATCCTTTTGAGAAAGCGTCGCCTTCCAAGTCTTGTAGCTTGGAGATGGGATTGGCCTCGAGAGGACCACTACTGGTGCAAGGCACACATTTCTTCGATGGCCGACATGGATGGCCGACATGGGGCCAAGCTCAACCAGTGACAAATTCTAAGATCAAGCGATTTCAATATCACGCAAAGAGGAGAATGGGATACAACGATGCACTTGTGCATGTCCAATTGATTCTGGTAAAGATTGAACTTAAAGAAACGCTGTATTGCAATGTCAGCTTCAGTTTTGGGTGCAGCAATCACTGCCTTCAGCATCAGCCGTTCCAGCTTTGGTGTTGCACCCAAGTCAGTGACCTGCAACAGCCGGATTGGCCGAAGCATTTCAACAGCGATCAGGTTGAGTTGATGGCTGCAACAGCCGGCTGATCCTTGTCTTGTGTTCCAACGTCTTCAAAGCCATGGCTGTTCCGGCTGCGCCTTGACAATCCTGTTGGAGGACAGGTCCACCTGAGGACAGGTCGACGCTTCGACGCTTCGAGTCGAACTTCGCGCGTAACGCCCACGCGAGCGTCACGTCCGGGGCACTGAGACCAGCTGGCTTAAACCATCCAAGTTCTCCATTCCTGGCAACGAATCGGAGCGTTACAGCATGTTTGTTAAAGCCCCAGAGAAGCAGAGGCCTGTTCACGTCGTGTGTGGTGAGTGCAATGCTTTTCAAGAGACAAGCAATGATCGGTGGCCCCAAAACACCAATCAAAAGAGTGGCTGCTATTAGCGCTGCTATACCTAAACGATCCTAAGCGCAAAGCGCGTAGAAGTAATCTTACCTTGCAGTTCTGCATTCCACCCTGTCAAACCCGTGTGAAGTGCGTTTGCCAGTGAAGATCTGAGAATCATGCGTACGATTTGGTTCTTCGAGAGGTCCAGCCATCGCAGGTTACAGCCTGTGGCAAAACATTCCACCAATTTTGCCAGCCAGAAACCTGTGATCTAACGGAACTGCAAAGCAAACATGTTGAGAGCTTCAACACATGGGGGTTGTCCAACAAAGCTCTTCTTTTTGAGCTTGTATCGCCGGCCTTTCGCGGTCCTTTCGCGTTTGCAGAAAAACCACAGGTGTTCCTTTCGCGCATTGTGATAAGATGTGATAAGCTTGTTCCATTGCACTGAGTTCACAGTGTTTGGGATATCCAAACAAAGGTTTCAAGGCCATGGATGAGCACTTGCCCTTCCAGGCAATGCGCCCTTTCGCGGGCCTACCGCCGGCCTTTCGCGGCCCTTTCGCGAAAATCCGTGTTTCTGTTCGGGAAAAAGGATGTGTCATGTATTGTCATGTATTGTAATGTTATGCACATTGTATGTTATGAGTCTAGGTTGGCACATGTCTTTCGCCGTCCTATCGCCGGCCTTTCGCGGACTGCAGTTTCCCTTTCGCGACATGTATGTTTTAACATTTCATCTAAATTCCTTCACTGGCAATAACGGACGGCCCTCACATGGCACTGAGCTGCTTGCATTTGTTAAGCTGCTCAATTCTGGTGATCGAGCCTTAGTTTTTGGAACTACTGTGTGGATTTGGATGCTGGGTGCAAACAGAAATGTAATATAGTGGCCTGTGGCAATGATGGCCTGTGACATGGCCTGATAAGTATCACCTCCTCTTCATGTTACTGTCATCTCCTGCCAGCTTCTAAAGTTAGTTTGAGCATATTTGGACCTGTCAAAAAGCCAATCTCAGACCCAAGGAAACATCTAGGAATTTCTAGAGTCATCTGTGGTCATCTTGGTTTAAAGAGGATCCCTTTTGAAGCAGCCCTCAGTGATAAGCAAAGATATATAGTCTGAGCCGCGATTGCTTAGGATGGCCTGGAAGACGCTTTCCTGCACCGCAATTCTATGAGCTGTTTAGAAGGTACTCAGGAATGCGTTGAATTGACCACAAACCATTGAAACAGCAAACAGCACATGTCAAGCAGTCCTCATCAAACTCACCAGTGGCATGCTTGATGAACTCCACTGTGAGAGGTGGCATGCCGTGCGGCGTCTTGAGCCACACGGCTGAGTGTGACAGAAAGCCAGTCAGTTCGATCAGCTCATGTCTGAGGTTAAATCATTGAAAGCAATGCATACAAAGAGTTGAATGCCTGTCCCTTCGCTTCAGAAGTTCTGAACGGCCAAATCAAACTTCTGCTGCTCAAACTCTTTGATGCCGACAGTACCAGCAGCCTGCTACGGCCTATTCTTATGCCCTTGGCTATCTGTTTGTACAGCTGACCTTCAGTATGGCTTGAAGATGCTTCAACCACTCAACCATGGCTTGTGGACAAGGTCTGAGCGTGGGCTAACGCTTTGGCCGCTGCCTCATTGGGTGGCATACCGGAACTGCGGTATTGCTCAAAGAGTGCCTTCACACGAGCTTGCAGCGTCGCCTTGTCGTCTGCCGGGGCTGGAGCAGCAGCAAGCGGCGCTGCCTTGCAGTCCATGGACAACTTGATGGCCATTGCGAGGTCATCCTCTACTTCGGTCTTGTCCTCCTCCTTTGCTTGCATTGAAAGCTCCATGGCTGCTTGCAGTGTCGCCATGTCATCCTGGCTCATTGAGCTTCCCCTGGTGATATTGCGTTGGAGATCTGGTTTTTCAGGAGGCGCTCGGTCTAGGATAGATTGATCTGGTGCAGGAACTGCAGGTTTAGAAATGGGCAAGTCCATGTGAAGTCCTTCACCTCGAAGGGCAAAGTTTGCTGCATCCCCGGGAAGGCCAACTGCTTGGATTGCAGTCCCACACCTGATGGCACCGCGTGCATAGGCGACACCGATCAGAACCTGTCGGGAGTGCGGAGGAAGAGCAATCACTGCATCGAAGCTCTCACGAGAGGCCACACATCCGATGCTGTCAGAAGCATCAACCTGCAGAGCTGTCTGGAAGTCTGATGAATTCTCTGCCACAAAGGACATGCCTGCCTCCTCTTGAAGGAGCCAGCACGATACACCCTGTGCTGCTTGCTGAATTGGCCTCTTTTTGCCTCTTTTCCGTGTGCCCTCGATCACTGCAGTTGCAGTGTCCGACCAATCCAAGGAGACACGCTCCGTTTCCACAGCTTGAACCGAATGCACAGCAACCACAGCTCGTCGAGGTGTAAACTCTTGAGACATGCCGTAAGATACTGGGACAATGCGATAAACATAGCCGCCCTCCAAGATCATCTCTGAACTGACATCATCTGTGCGAGCACGCTTGACAATCTCAATGAGGTCATATTGGACCTTCCCCTCAGAGACACCAAGCTTTCTCAGTACTGCGAAGCCAACATCAATGTTGGTGGCCTTGGCATGCAAAGCAGCCTCCCTGGCGATGTGTTTTTCCTGCCAAATACAAATGTCAACAGCCGTCCGTCGGAAGACAGTCACATCAACTCCTTGACCAGGCCCAACTCCAGAGGGCAACCACACCTGAGTCCGACTCTCACACCAACCTTCATGTACTCGGCAAATTTCCACCGCGCCAAAGTATTCTTTCACATCATTGTAGTCCATCCAAAAGACAGACATTGGATCCTCCAGCTCAACATTGGAGCTATTCACCACTCCAAGACGATATTTCAGCTCTGGTGTCCACTTGTCGGAATCTTTGCCCCAAGGCCCTTTCCAAGTGCGTGGGGCGCGTTCGCCCCAGGGATTTCGAATTTTCATCATACGCAACAGCCGACCATCGACCTCGATCTCTTGGGCATCCAAGATCCCGTAAGCATGAGGTGCCTGAGCAGTGCAAAGTCCAAGAACCCAAGGAAAATCAAAAGAAACCATGAGAAACCCCACTTGCATGGCAAGTGGAATCTCCTTCTGGTAACCTTTCAGAGTCTTTCATTTTTCATGTGGCTGGTGGGGGATTCTAGGGAGTCCATACTACAGTTGTCCTCGTTTCCTGACATCTATGCGCCACGGCACAGGTCCCCTCAGGTCGGACCTGCCTGGGAAGGCCGTGGAACCCAGATATGCGTCCGATCACTGCACTTCACTCGCAGATTGGTAGGGAGTCTCTCCATGCGCGTCTCTATGCATCAATTCACATGATATAATATACCTTCTAGATAGAAAATGATAGAAGCACTAGTTTTTTAAGGGTCGTGACCGGACTTCCTACAAAACAGCAATCGGTTGTCGCGGGAATTAACCCTGTGCAAATCTCTCCCTGCGTCTCTCCTGCCTGAAGTCCCATCTCCTCTACAATGTGATGCTTGGTCTTCTCGCAACCTTCTTCTGTGCAGCCCATACCCATCAAGTACCCACATTCACGGGCAGAGAGAATTGTGGACCACTTGATGTCATCATTCTCGATGTCATCATCACTATCCTCCATGTCTGGAACCTCAAGCCCTCGTAGCAACATCATGGTCCTCTCATCCGCAATCTGTTTGCGTCTCTCTTCTCGCCGCCGCCGAAGCTCTTTGGGAAGGTAGAGCATCAGTCTTTGGGTCGGAAAACCCGTGAAGAGCCCAAGGGCCTCGCCAAAGGTACCACCCTTCAGCCCCGCCCAGTTGCCGAAGAGCTTGGCGGCCGCTTTCTCAACGAGAGGCACCCAGAGTTGTCGCCTTGATCCTTGCAGGTAGCAAAGTGTTCCACCTCGGGAGTAGTAAATCGTTTGTCCATCAATGTAGCCTTCAAATATCTGAGAAGTGGGAAGAAGATCGTCGATCAGAATCCTTCTCCAGCTGCCAGCATGATGTAGCTTCAACAGGTACGCACCATTGGGATTAAAGTCCTTGGTCTCGAAAAGCTTCTCCACCATCTTTGGGCAGGTGGCCACAACACTTAGAGCACCTGCGAACCAACAGTTGCCTAGGCCTCCCTGACAAACATCCTCTGTGCGTGCCTCCCCTCGAATCAGCTTCCAAGGTGCCCCAACAGTTGTGTTGGACATGGAGTCACGCAAGAAATGTGGGCACAAACGAGGAAGTAGCTCCTTGCCAGCAGGAAGATGGCTATACAAGAGCTCGCACCCTAGGCAGCGTTCCCCCGGCCGCAACCACTGTGTTGGTCTGGAAAAGAAATGAACTTTGATCGCGTAGTGCGCAGGTTCTCCGCAACCGACACACTTGGCTTTCTCAGCAAAGTCGGCTTCCTGCTGCTTAGCTTCCTCCTGTGACTTTGGCAACGGCGGAGTCGGAGGCAGCGGAGAATGTCGTTTGCAGCCCAAACATTGCCAGGTTTCAGCATCTTCTGCGCTGAGATAAAGCGACTTTGAAGTTGGTGGGAATTGAGGGTCCACATACTTGTCTCCGGTTTCTTTGCAGAACTGGTTGATCTTTTCGACCGCATCCAGCTCAATCTGGACATCCTCTGCCCGGAAACGCTCAAAGGAAACTTCCGTTCTCTCATCAGGCTCGTCTCTTTCCAAACGCTCAGCCAGGGCGCGCTCTTCTTCTTCGCTGGGCCGTGCTCGCTTGGTTGGGGCAGCATCGACCCCATCGTCCATGGAGAGACGCAACGCTTCTGCTAGCTCTGCATCCTCTGCATCTACTGCAACATCACCCGCTTCACCATCAGCTGACATTGTCAGACAGTCCAACAGTTCCTTGGCTTGAAGAAAATCTTCTCCTGGATCCCGTGATGACAGTACCAAAGCCTCGCCCATATCTGCAAAGCCCAGAGCCTGTAAAATCTGAAGTCCAATGGGAGACAGCTTCCCTTCCAACTTGCTCTTGTTCAAGGTCCTGTACTTGCCCTCCCCAGGGTTTGCAATGACATTTGAAAGGATGCGTTGCAAAACACAGAAGTTCTTCAGCGCATCCTCAGGAGAGAGGCTGCTGCTGGCCTCTTCGATCAGTGCCGACATGGGCTTCGAATTCAGAGATGAAGGCTAACTTTGCTCTTGTGATCTCTCTGGCTAGCTGCGTCCTGTCAGATTGATACAACAGTCTATATTTTGTTGGATGCCATGAAATGTCGGTGAAGAAAGGAGTGGTCCCTTTAGTGGGGTGGTTGGTTGATACCCATGTTCTTTGCGTTTCAAGGCGCTCTCATGAACTGAGGCTGTTTCAGGAATCGCAGGGATGAGACCATGTAGATAAATAAAGAGCTTAGAGTTGAATTTGCCTTCAGTTCGCAGCAGCAGCAGGTCAAGGCAAATCCGTGTGAGTGTGAAGGTATACTCGATACTCCCAAGCAGAAAACATGCCGTTCTCTTGACCATCATACCAAGACGGGTGGCACTGTTTTGCTCTGCGCTTTTGTCATTGTAAAAAAAAGCCCTTTTGGAGCTTGGCCTTTCCCTCTAAACGCATGTACCAATTTCACATAGAAGTCTGCCGGAAGCATGCTGCTACGCGAGCCCTTCCTTTCAACCCTGAAAAGGAAACAAACAAAAAGTGTATGCTGCTGTCAATCAATCACGAAGACAAAGATTCATTTGATTTACACTATGGCATGTCTTGAGAGCATACAACTGGAGGCAAGCGACATCTGCCTGTCTGGAAAAACCTGCCAGGCTAAGCCCAAGCAAAGTCCTCGCCAAATCACAGATATACCTGTAATTAATCGAGTATCAGTATCATGGTCAGAACTTGGTCGTTGTGCCAGGCCTTTGTCACCGTTATGGTTGCTAGTCACTCCTGGTTTGGTTGGAACTCTGCACTTCAAAAAATGTGTTGCTACTTCTTTACTGTGCAAGAATAGTCTGAATCTCACATTGCTAGTCGGCTAGTCGTGAGTACAAGAGTTCCAGCAATTAAGATTTCTCAATATTTATTACTGCAGGTAAATACGTAAGTACAGTATCTTGTTGAAATAGAATTTCCTATCATTCTCCAAGTCTCTCAGAAATGACTGTGGTAATAGCTGCCGGCCTCCGTTAAGCTGATCAATTCTGGTGATCGGCCTCAGCAGTCGGACATTTATATCCTTCTATTGGGTACAAACAGAAATGGATTCTGTTCCGAGCTGCCATATGCTGCGATAGCTCGGGATGACCTGCAGCACCATGATTTTTTTACGACATCAAAAGGGCCAAGAGATGTGTAAAAGGTATGTCAAGTGATCCTCTCAAACTCAGTGGCGAACTCCAGGTTGAGAGTTATTCATGCGAGCTGCGTCTTGAGCCATGCAGCTTCACTTTGCAAATCAACCCACTTGTTCGTACCTACATGACCCGCAAATGAAACAATTATCACATAAACTATCGATTTTCTATAGCCTTGCAAATGTTGTGAGAAAACAATACAATGTACCCGATGGCTTAGAAAGTCATGTTGGCATTGCCGATATCTTCAGTGCTTGCTATAATTCCTGCTATCGAAGTCTTCGCTTGAACAAACTCTAACTCCTACACACACAACGGTCGTGTTTTCGGGAGACCCCCACAACCGGTGAAAGGGAAAGTATTTGAGACCAGGTCATTGGTTGAGGTGTCTGCCCCTTTTGAACCAACGCGCTGAACAATCCCGCATCCTCGCCCAAGCTGTTTTCTCGCATCCACCGGGCCAAAGGGACATTGGCATGAGCATCTGGAGAGCTTTGCCGCATGTGAGCGCGCTGGAACCTCTGCATGAGTTGATCAAGGAACAAGGAACCCTATGAGAATAACGCACACATGAAAAATCACGGGCTTGCGTCAAGGCAAAGACTGAGAACATTGTTGGCGAAGTGCTCTGATGCCACTAGGCATGTCCTTTGCAGGTTGAACATGCATACTCAAATGGTGGTTGATCCATGCCCGATACCGTTTCATGATGGAATGGCCATTCTTCGCGAAAAAAATATATCCTTCACGGGCCTTCACGGCTTCATTACGAAGCATGGTCCTAAAGCCATGTCTAGTTAACGTAGTTAACATGAGCTGGAAGTGTATATGTTTGTATCACTAAAAGGGACTGACATCTTGCAGCATGGCCCCAGCACAAGGTTGAGAGTTGCCACAGCTACTCAGGGTCACCTGCACAGCTACTCAGGGTCACCTGCAGCAACTGTGCGACATCTGAAGTATTGGAGGAGGCTTCGAATAGAGTCAGGCACAATTCAACCCAATCCTCGTGCCAGCTACCAACACAGGGCGATGCAGCTCGGGGAATGCTGGGGGGCCTCAAGACCTGGACATTAGTGGCATTTTCGCAGATCTTTCGCGACATTTCACTGGCGATTGCCCTGGGAAGGCACAACATGTGCAAACATCTGCGCAACTCGTCAGAGCTGCGGGTCGTTGCATCACTGTCATGGCTGTGCCTACTCAGGTTGCTAGTCTGTGACAGTGGGCTGGGCAAGGAAACGTTGCAGCTTCAGTTCGGTTGTGTGTGACGGTGGGGATATGCGCAGACACTTCCGCAAGCCGGCTCTGCCGGAGGATTGCCTTGCATTTCTACCATTTGTCGGTCGGTAGAAAGTTTAATATTAAAGCGAAGACCTTCGATAAATCTTTCCAACCTCATTTCGAATCTTTCGCGGATGGTGTTCACCTCATCTGAAAGGCTGTTATATATAAATATAACTCCTTACACGCGGATTTACATCAACTCCCATATATTTTACACTCATTCACACCAAACATCACAAAACAAGTCATCGTTGCCTGTCCTTCACAGTATGGTGTTCAATTTCCGCGTGATCAACTTCATGACATCGGCCGTTGGTTTCGGCCGCCCCGTTCACATTCGGCCCGTCCTCATCATTCTGCAACCGGATAGACTCAGCTCTCATGGCCTCAGATCCCACAGTGAAACTTTTGGCTTCTTAACATTTCGGGCCCAAGAGCGATGTTTGGCTTCTCGAAAGAAAACCACAGAAAAGACAAATGTATAGAATAGGTGCTTGGCAACGTAGAGTACTACATATTTAATCATATTCATAATTTATATCTATATCAAACACACGAGAAACGCCCTTTATAGGAGTATCTTAAGGTGAAAGAGACCAGAGCTCCCTTGGCTCACCGCTCGGCGTCGATATGCAGCAGTTTCACGATTGCAGGCCTGCAGTTTCACGATTTAGGAGCATCTGCCAGCGAAGTTCAAGGCAAGGCTTGCCACGAGTCGGTGGTGCGGAATCTTTAGCTCTGCAAATCGATGTGCATTAACAATCTGCACCTTCCGCAAGCCGACTTATGGACTTGGATGGTACGGACAATGCTCAAATGCAGTGAAACCTCGCAAGACTTTGTTGCGAAAACGAGGCTCTTTCGGAACACTTGCTCGACATCACAAGAATGAGCCTCGGCTAAGGCAGTGTAAGTGATTCCTGCTACCCATGATCCAGCTAAGGCACCAATAGCTCTGGCTTGAGTCGACCTTTCTGGTCGGACTGGCGATGCAAATATGGTGGAACAAGTCAGTGTCACCTTGGCTTTCACGATATGAACCCACATCGAAACCATTGAAACTAGTTGGACAACCGACGAAGGTTTACAATGGACTTCTGTATAATTCTTTCCTGTTTTCATGATGTAAGCATATGATATGCAACTTCAGCCTGAAAGCACGTCCTCCGTTTCGAGTACATACTATATAATGAATATATATAACTATATATTTACATATATTTACAGTACTATACAGTCAGTATACCTGTAGTACTACCTGTAGTTCCCCGATTACAACCTTCAACCACCAAGTTCAATGATGATCAATGGCTAATGTTGCAACAGCTCGCTGGCGTTGACATAGTCAGTGGGTCTGCCACCGGGTCCACCTTCGATGGCCCTGAAATGGAGGTGTAAGCATCCTGCAAAGCCAACATGTGGACTTTCTAAGGCTTTCAATGCTGTGAACGGCACAGTTTCCAGCTTCGTGTGTGAGACAAGAACAATCCGGTTCAAGTGGTATTTGATGGTATTTGCACCTCATTATTCGTCTGCCGCACTTTTTCCGGCGACCAAGAGATCTTTCTAGACATTTCTAAACTACTAGTCATGAGAGTATATCGAACCGTTGACGACCTGTTCGCTTTGAGGCCAAGATGTTTGAAAACTTGATGAGAAAGGCTTGCTGTGATTGGCTGTTTCTCCTCCGCAGGCTTCTCCTAAGTCGTGATTGAGCCCTATTACAGAGCATGCCAGAGATTGGTTTCCGAACGAAAGCGGTCTTCATTCAAATCACGCACTGCAGCCTAGCGACAGCTTGCACTTGGGAGGAATTCCAATCTTTGCCTGGCACTGAGAATCATTTGACATCATCAATCAAAGCATCTGACATCTGACTCAACTAGGACTCACCACGACGTGTCACAGTGCTGGAATTCTTAACTTTAACCCAACCAAGCGCCACTCACCTCACCCTTTCTCCCTGGCCATCAAATGCTACGGAGACATGATTCGCATGATTCCTTAGTAATAACATGTTTTAATCCACTAATAACATTGAATAGATCTATGTTTTTAAGCGTGCAACCCTCTTTTGGCCACTTTTTTTGCACAAGACAAAATACACGCTTAAATGCGCCAAAAACCCTCTGATTGGAACCCGTGATTTGTGTGCAAAGCTCTCTCTTCGACTCACATGTTTGCCAGAAAATGCAGGCTTTGCCAAACGTAGCGCCCTGAACACAGTTCAAGTGCCAATTTTGGAACTAAACACCCACCCAACATGACAAACTTTACGCTCAGTGCACCATGAAATGCACACTTGTTCCACCTCCAAAGCACCCGATGTTTGCCACAACAAGGCCCTGATACCCTGCCTAATGTGCGAAACGGTAAATTCATAAGCATACTGGTAGAATTTAGGTACACATCAATGCTCCCAGTGCATAAGCATACTAAGGGCTACCCAATTTATTACTGTATATTATTGATGCTATACTGTACTGTTTAGCCAAGAAGGTCACCAAGTTACAAAATGCCACCAAGGGAGTTTCTTCTGACTGTTTTCCACTGTTTTCCACGGTGTGACCCGATGGCGCCTCCTTGACTTCCCTGCAGCGAATCAATCAAGAATCGAAGACAAATGCTACTAGTAGTAACTTCTAGCACCTAGTAGTAATGGCCTCCAACCCACTAGCGATGGCCTCCACCCTAGTAAGAAAAGCACATTCTGCACAAACTTGCCTTTGAATCCATGGTTTCTGCAGCCGGAGCGGTGGTGTCAGCGCCTTTCCTTTGCAGAGTGTGATCATCACATCTTCACATCATAGTGGGTCAGTATCATGGTTCAAGATGGCGTTCGCAAGTGGCAGCGATGCGCGGGAAAGTCTTGCCGAGCTTGCTTTGCACAATCCAAGAAACTGTAGGACAGTTTCTCGTGCGGCTGTGCGTTCTGCAGGATCATCCTTATTGTCAACACCGTGGACGATGTACCACTTCAAAGGTCCAATGTGCAAGAAACACGTTCGACAAAACTCCAAACCTGCAGTGCATGCAGCATGCACAATCTCGGGTATCACCCCCAACTTTGACAAGCGTGACAAGCCCGCAGCCAAGATTACTATCCTATGCCATCCTACTTACCTGGATTCAGGTTTGCTAGCCGATAGGAGGGCTAACCTGCCAAACCAAGTGCCTTGCCTCGTCTGGTGGGCCCAATACAGTGGTTCAACCATGATGTGGGAGACAGTGATTTGCACAGAAAAATAATCTTGCGTCCCAAGAATGCAACTCAAAAACGTATGGAGTTGGGGAACCCCATACATGAATTGGGGTTGTGAACTTGAACTGCAAATTTCAACACCACTTGCTCTCCGCTAATTCGTTCCAGCTGCTGCCACGCGCTCAACGTCTGCTGCGTTCGCGCTCGACATTGCCTCCATGCGGACCTCAGACCACCACACTCTTCCTTCCTGTTGAGATCTATATGTATATATATATATCCAAGTACAATCGGGCACCCAAAAGGCACATCATGCTCAGTACTTTATAGCATCAGCGATCTGATCCCAGCGAGCTGTTGTTCCAATGGTTGCAGCGGGTATCAGTGTCTAATCACCTTTGTACCACGGCCTGCGGCCTGCGTTAGTTCTACTTTCGCGGGTTTACTGCATTAATCTTACCCACAAACCCCTGCCACTCTTGCCCTTGTTCTATAACAACATAGGTGTACAGGAAGGAATTAACGATTCAACAAAAACAAACGAATAAAGATTCAATGGCTTGCCAAACATGGCTACAAATGGATAAGGGGCATACCCATGGGCCGGATTGGGCAGCTAAGTACCTTGAGATTGATATTTGGTCATTCGCGCCGCAACAAGTGCAGGGTATTTGCGACGCACCACCGATCTTTTAGAATTTATGATGTTTTGGACTTAGCTAGTAGCCATCTTTGTACACTTGGAACGTGTGTGTGTGTGAGAGAGAGAGAGCACAATTCAATGGGTGGTTGCAATACTTCTGCACCTTTAAATGATATCATTGATCATTGATCTATCCATATCATTGATCATTGATCTATCCTATCCATGCAATCAAACACATCATGAGAATACAAGTGAATCATGAACTTTAAAGAGCTGTATTGCAAAACATATTCACACGGAGTTTCGCAACAACAAACCAGTATGCCACTTTCAAAAAGCTTTCTTGGCTTTTCGCACCCTTTCTTTCTTGGCCCCGACCTTGGCCTCTTGGCCGGCGGTCACTGGCGGAGGCTCAGCACCTGCAGCAGAAGTGCAAACGCACAACACATGGCACGAGCTCGATTTTGCAGCACGATTGGTCAACGGTTGGTCACCTGTTCCGGGGTGAGTCGTACAGTCATACCGTATACCTAGCTAATCCTAACTATTTCACGCTTGCAAGCTTAACCTATTGTCCACTTGAATGCCTTTTCTGCTGTACTTTTGCTGCTGTTGACTTAGAGAATGTACATCCTGGTTTATAGAATTTGAAACTTATGTGCCGGCATGAGAAGCTCAGAAGAGTAAACATGAGTGATGAAGGAGTCGCAACGTCGATGTCGCACCTCGTTCCGCTTCGGCCTCTGCCTCTGCCCGCTTAATGAGGCCCCGCGGTGAGTTATCAGGAGGATTGCTGAGTTGCTGCCTCGGACAACGTGAGCTGCCAAAGTCGTGGAGATAGTTTTGGTGGGAATCCAACAGCAAGTCTCACAAATGAGGGATTGAGAATGGATCATGTTTTACTATCACCAAGAACATCCTCTAACCTTTTGGAGTAGACTTGCTGTTCTATCTTGCGCTTTCGTGATCCAAACATCGGCATCTCATGCTGGCATCGGGCTTTCCCCTGGCGTCCCTTTGAGGCACCCTGCCATGTGTGGTCCAAGTCATCCTGCGCTTCTCTTGCTGAGCTACCGGAGAAGCGGCTCATGTTAGCAGCAGCGTCCATTGCCTGGGCAGCATCCATGGATCCAAACATTTGTTCATGGTGTTATTTTCAGATTGTGTTGTGTAGTTTGGCCCTGGTTTGAGGAACCTTACTCGGGTTTCAGAAGTAACAGGCCGTTTTACAGACGGTCGGGATCTGATGAGGTCTGAGGATTCCACACGCTTCATCCTTCTCTTCCACACGTCTTCCTGGCGTAACAGCATTCAGCAATTGCCCGCCCAAGTGGAAAACACGAAACGGTTCGGCAAGAATCTGGAAACATCTGTAAACCATCTCTGAGCATCATGCAAAAGTCGGAAATTGCTTCAGGACGTTGGATGGATACCTCACTGGGCAGCACACGCAGTGCCATGTTCATGTGCCCCTTTTTTGTATGGCTGACAATCACTTGCTGCTGAAACGCCAAGGTGGAGGTGTAGGTTCCACCAAAGGATGCTTTGGTTCTTTCACAAATTCGAAGGTCTTCTCCTCAGGGCCCACGCACAGTACGAACGACGCATCGAACCCCAACGGAGACAAATCCGACTCCTCAAGAGTGCGCCGGGCCGGGAACTGCTTCCAAGAGTCATCGATTCCATATCCCACGGGGTGCTGCTCTTGGCTCACTTTGCCTTGACGAAGTAGCTGCTCCAGTGGTCACAAAGATCGTTCGGTTTTGCGACTCGTGCGACCGTGTCTATTGTTTCTCGTCTAGTGACCCCCTATATAATGGCTAATGGACAGAAATGCGAATCCCTTGGAACATTTTCGGAATCTGTATCAATCTGTCGCCCATGGTTTTTCCGTGCTCAATCACCCCGGCCTTTCAAGAATTGTTCCACCCATTGTGGCTCAGCCTGCATTAGCCTCTTGTATGCCTTCCTCAGTTGCAAACAGGTCTTTCCATTGTCTGCTGTATCTCACCTCGTTCTCAAACTGCTCTGTGAGCTTATTCTATGTAGAGACTTCCTAAGCAACAGTCACATTCTTCAGCTTGATGATGTGGGTCAGTTTCACACATCACACTGATCTTGCACCCACCCACCCACCCACACACCGTCAGGCAAGCATCATGTCAAGCATGTCAATGCCCATCAAATCCTGGCTGGGCTCTTCTGTGGCACAAGAAGTGCATGATAGTGCATGTGTCCGCTCTGCACGACATAGCCAAAAAAGTAACTAAAATATATTCGACTAATTTAAGATCTTTATTTAAAATTAATGAAAGTCCTACCTTTCAGATCTTTCAGCTGTATCAAGCCTGCTTCGTTTGTTCGAGAAACATTAAGTTAATCATGCATCCAGGCTGCGGCGCCCATACTTTTGAGGCCTAATGCATCAACGTTCCCATCGAAGGCCTCGAACGAAATCCAATTTGAGCTGCTGTTGGCGCTTTTCCGAAACGGTTTTTGAAGCATGTGTCTTTCTTATACTGTCTTCAAGTAAATTACAGCAATCACCTCAATTGAGTGAAGTCAAGTTCAAATCGACCTCCATCCTTGCATCTTTCCACATTGCTTCCTGCTGACTGACTGGGTACTTTCGGAGGTCTGGCAAGCCTTGGCTGCGGCATCTTTCTAGCGTTAGCGTCACACAAATATCTCTGAGATGAGCATGAGACAGTCTTCGGAGGGCGCCAAATTGCTCGAGTGCCAAATTGCCAAATCATACCAAATCGACAAAAGCTTGCTTGACGGAACAGGTCTGAAATGGTCTGAGACCATGTCTTGCCGTTTGCAATGTATTTTCTAAGAGTCTCCATTGAATTCTGATGACCCAACGAAATGAGGCGTTCAAAGCAAGAAGCCGAAGCTCTAGAGAGGGCAGTCCGCATCTGTTAGGCACCGAAGGAAAAATTGAACATGAATGGAAGACCATTGGCCAGTTCCTTGAACGTGTTCTTAGAACCAGCAAATAGTGCACCACTAGTCCACTAGTCATGAATTCATGAAACCTGTCTTCTTGGTCTGGCGGGGTGGACTAGTCCAACAACTACAAAAGGCCTATCACAAGAGGCTTACTGTAACCACTTGGCTGCTGGGTCCATGGGACTACAAGAGTGGAGGAATCGAGGATCGTCTCAGAGTCTTGGTCTGTTCTTCACCATCGTTTTGCTCATTCGAACAGGTCGTGGAATGCGAACGAGCCAAACAAAATGAATAAAGACACAAGCCAACCATGGCACTCTCAAAACGGCAGGTTGACCTCCATGGGGTTAGATGTTTTGAGCGCCAATGTCTGCTGACAACTGCCAAAGAACTTGCAGGGCGTGGAAGCCTCGGATCCAATGTAGCAGGTTCATCTTCTGCAAACCTCCGCGGCAGCTTTTGTAATGAATCTGGAAGTTAATAAACCGAAGAGGTTTGACAGGTGCCACCCTTCACCTCGCCTGTCCTCGAAGCGAGGGGTTGCATTCTCCAAGCCGCGAGGGGTAAAGGCCCTCGGAAAGCCTCGCCAAGAGGACACACAGCGTGCCGGCATGTAGTGGCTTGGTGTTGCAGGAAGAAAAAATGTCGAAACAAGTCAAAACAGCTGCACGTCGTACCAGCTGAAAAAGGCACCTTTCTGTGTCGAGCGCCTCAACGTATGTTCTGCTAACCACTTCTCCTGCTCCCAATCTGTATAGGCCTTCTGATCAGCTTTCTTTCCTTGTTCAAGCGGAATTGATCAAGTGAATTGGGACAACGGTACCAACTGGTAATGGTGCCAAGCTTGCGACACTTACCAATGCGGGCAAATGCAACACTGCAGCCCACAGGTCTAAAGCACGGCTGTCGAGCGTCTTCGAAATGTTCCCCTTCTTGGCCATGGCGCACCAGGTTGCTCTAAGTCAAAGCCTCAAATGTGCACACCCAGCTCTGATGGCAGAAAGGCTAACACCTTGAACCCGAAAATATGTTTGGTGCTTTCCTGTCTACCTTTTTACACGCAACTGTCACCACACCGTATCACCCTTGGGTTGTTTCAAACGTGCGAACCAGCCGCGGACAACTCTGGCACTGCTTGGGGTCATCTTTTGAGACCATTTGAGAACCAGCCAGGACATGCTACTAGCATTCTTGCTAGTAACAAGGACACTACTAGGGGCTCCTGGCATCGCTACTAGTAACAAGGACGCTACTAGGACGCTACTAGGAGCAAACTTCTCAGGGGACTGGTCTTAATTCCGCTTCGCCACCAGCTTGCCCATCCTCTGCCCAATACTTGGAAGTCGGTGAGCTCAGCTTGATAGGAAGAGTGCACCTTAGGGGTGGCACTTTTAGTGCCAAATCAGTATGTCAACGACCTCCAACGCCGAATGCATCGATGGCAGAGCGACGCTGGTTGAAATTGGTTGAGTAGGTATGTAGGCTGAGAGCTCTCAGATTTCAGTCAAAGGTGCTTGTCATCGTCCCAAAACTGACCCATGAAGTCTCCGGCGGCAGAAGCAGCAGCTGACTTTAGCCCACTCGTCCAATCTAGGGGATCTTGCCTTAGGTGCACTCTATTTGCATTGGAATACAAAGTCACTTGCAACACAACTTGTAAAAACAAACTGTCAAGTAAATGAAATGTGCTTGTTCCAACTTCTTCCTCGAATTCCCCCCAAAAAAATGTATCATGTAAATTTCAATGTAAATCAAGCCACGGCCCTTCCAGCCACTCCCACCACAACTTGGGTCGTCCCCAGTCAGCCTTCAGGAGCCCTGGCTCCTTGACACAACGGCCATTCCTCGGAATCGGAGACAAAACGACGGGAAGACCCCAGTTATGATCATAACAAATTTGTCTGGATGGATCATAACTGGGGTGGATCATAACTGTTTGGACAAATTGTCCCTTGTTTTCCCGAAGCAACAATGTTATTCATTTGTCCAAACATACCAAACATATCTAAGCTGCGGAAAAGTGTCCAACCAGGTGGCGGCTCTCCAGTGTATGGAAAGATCGCCTGAGAACAGTATAACTATATACATCGTCGTCGTTTTCAAATGCTTCGCTGCACCAGAAAGTCGGAATGTGTTGAAATGAATCGATTCCAAGCTGGGCCCTCGAAGAAAAACTGCGCCTCACCCTCATCGCCTGTTCCAAGCTGTTTCCACTTGTTTCTCCAGAGCCGACCTGAAGCCACCGTCCGATACACAGAGAAACACAGGCGAAACACTCCGGGCAAACACGTCCAGTGCAGGCAAATCACGCTGCTCCCACCAGACGTTGGGCGGCGACGTGACATAGCTCTGCACCTGATCCTGAGGTAAGAAGAGAAGGATCTAAGACATTGAAACAGCATGAAACAATCATCCATTTCCGACCATATCCATTTCATGTTCATTTCATGTTCATTTCCGACCGTCTCCGTATCTCCATTCCTACCTACCGCTCGTGCGCAGGTCGCATCGCTGCACTCGCGGCGATCCCAAGCGTCGTCCGCAGGATAGCCTGGCTTGGTTGGCCGATCCTGAGGAACGTGAGGTCGGTGATTTATCGAAAGGAAACATAAAAGCGCTTTTCAGCGGAAAACGAGTCTGAGAAAAAGTAACAAAAACAATCAATGTCAGCTCCATGTCTGTGCTGAGCCGCCCAATAATTCCAGTATGAAGGATCTTTCAAATAGAGGTTCGAATCCTTGCGCCACGCACAGTTTGAGTCAATGATGTCAATGTTGGCAAATCAACAACAGAATATAGAAGCTGCACCTGGTCATAGATGATTCCTGATGTGGGATATCTTTGCCTTACAATGACATCGCAACCATGAGTTCACGAAGTTCGCAAAGTTCACATCGATTTCATGACATACTTCGACAGAAACAGCATGAAACAATCAAAAAGAACAGCTGGCGCTCTCTCATCCGCAAACGCTGACCAGCCGCGCCAACTCGGTTCTCGCCTTAGGTTTCAGCTTTCCAAGCCCTCACACGGTCACTGGCGAATCTCAAGTCACTGAGGCGCTGGCCAGGCTCAATGCGGGCATCTTTCAGACATCAAGCTCCTGCCGCATCCTGGCCTTGGATGTGGAAACTTGGGTAGGGGCAGAAAGTCATAGGCACAAACATACGCACAATTGGCGAACCTACTAGCGATGGCCTCCACCCGAACGTAGCGATCATGTAATACGCACGAAGGCACAAACCGTTGCACAATGGCCACCGGACCTTTGCACAAAGGCACAATACACAACTGGCATACCTGTATACATGGATCCCCCAAAAACCATCTCGCAACTGGCATCAACAGGTTTGGCTTGGATGGGCTTGACCTTTTCAATGGTCCAAGCAAGTACCGGAACACCTAGCATGGACAGACAGCATTTGCCATGCTCCCCCACCCAACATGTCAGTTACGAGTACCACAAAGTGGAGATGTTACACCAAGAATGACCTTGACACGCATGCGCCGTTCTCTGCGCAATAGTATCAACTCAAGTGAAGATGCAATTCCATCGACTTCTGCAGTCAGGCCAGCTCTACGGTGCTGTCTAGCCTCCATTTTCCGGAAACACCAAACCGGACATGTGTCCACTAATTACAACGGGGGGGCTCGACCAGTTTACGCACCAATCCTGAGAAGCTGTTGGAACTCTGAAAAAAACAATCACATATTGGGACTTTGGTATGCAACCACGCTGCATATGCTCTGATCAGGAACCTTCTGCGGCGCGAACGGCTCCAGCGTAATGGCCACAGCATGAAGGCAAACAAATGGTGTAGACACAACTGCTTACTTTAGCTACTACGTTGTACATTCGCATACCTTTGCCTCTGGAATGCGCGCTAGCAAGACCACACATGAGGAAACCCTTGAGAGGTGTTTGCTGCAGCATTTTGATGCTGAGTGGCTGCAGAGGAAATGATAATGAGGCGTTTGTAAATGCGGCAAAGCGGCAAAACTAACATCATGCTTGCAGTCCAACCTCCAGCTGTGCTTCTTGTGCCTGCAGCTCTTGCTGCAGGATGGACACCTGCATTCAGGAAATATCAGAACTGACAATCTCAAAATCCCTCAAGGGCACTGCGACATACTGCAACAAGGTTTGACCGTCTATGCGAAGCTGCCATAGTTCTCAGAGAAGATCGTTGTCATTCGTTGTCTCTGTTCAAAGAAACAATGAAGGAGCGAAAAATCACAAAAATGTGAATGCAAACTACAGTATTAGGCCTGCTGCTGGAAACCTGACTGTGAAGCAGACCTGAATCTCAGTACATCAAACTGAGACAGCACTATGGAATGAGTGCAGCCTTGATGAGCTGAACGGCACCGATGTGTATAAACTGGTCATAATTGGTCTGGAGTCTGGAGGGTTCCAACTGTACTCAAAATGTTCACTTCATTTCTGAGCATCTCTTACCAGCTCCAAGCAGCATTCAGAAAAGAGATGTATTTACACCCGACAGGGTTCACGCACAAGAAAGAACATAACTCATCAAAAGCAGCTCCTTCGTCTGAGCCCAGTGCCTGTCAGACAGCTCTTTTGCCTCGGCAGTCCAAACATCGCAGGAGTGATCAGGGCGTCCAAGCGATGCTCTGCGTTTGTCTGCGCTGTCAGATGCATCTCGCCGTCGTTTTGGGGGTGCACGGCAGGTTGATGAACAAAATGACTCATTGCTGATCAGCTGAAAATCCGCCCGCACCGAAGGTGCCGAGGCGTTTTTATAGGGCACGCGGTATACGTAAGCTAGCCTGGGCAAGCCAATAGCTTTAGCTAGGGGGGGGGCATTTTCGCTCTAGAATCCTGTGTTTTTCACGTTTTTGGAACCGGCTTAAAGTGCTGGAAGATGAATTCGTGCTATGTTGAAGCCCCTGGTGATGCAAGAAATGCAATTTTCTTCCTTTGCATGATTTGAATTGATGCAAGAAATGAAATTTTCTTCCTTTGCATGATTTGAATCATCTGCGCGGTAAAGTGTAATTGGACTGAAGCCGGACATTTGGCTGAACAGGCTCCCCTAACGTGGCTCAACATAGCTTCCATATTGCCTAACATAGCCCTAGAAGTCACTATCTAACGGACGTGTCTGCGAGATAGGGACTTGAACGCAAAACAAGTAAAGAGATTGCCTAACATAGCCCTAGAAGTCGCTATCTAAAGGACGTGTCTGCGAGATAGGGACTTGAACGTCGTAAACATAGCCCAACTAGGGCTCAAAAGGGACTGGAATAAAGCCCCCCAACGTGACCGAACAGACGTTATCTCTGCTCCTGTTGAGCCAAATATCCGGCGAACGTCTCGAGCTACCTGCGGAAAAGATACACCAATTTGCGACGTTCCCACATTCTAGCGCTATGTTAGGCAATATGGAAGCTATGTTCGGCCACGTTGGGGGGGTGACTTCTGGGGCTATGTTCAATGGAAGTACCTACCTATTGACCCGTTGCTGGAGCATGACTGCAGTCTTTGAGCCCTCCCATGCGCTGCGGGCGGTTACCGTCGTGAAGCGTTGTGAATAGGCAATCTAAAGTAAAGAGGAAAAGAGGCCCACAAGGTTGGTTCGTTAGCCTGCCAACTGCAGTTAATCACGTGGCCATTGGTAAGATTAGCCGGCATCCAAAAGAAAAGATTGTCACCCGTCATGGCTGTCATCTCCCTTTGGGCTTCGCTTTGGATGAGCGTTTTGCGGTCATTTTGCGGCGCCAGGACGGTATTGATTCGGATACAGTTCGGACATCGAAGCTAAGCAGGGGAACCATGTGAGGCATCATGTTTTAGGGGTCTGCTTTGGGGTCTGCTTCCTGCAGTGCGGAGACTAAAACAACTGCATTTTCGGGAGTTATTACTGCTTCGGGGTATGTTTCACCTCAGTCGAACATCCTATCTATATATACACAGCTCTGGGCACGTTTTCCAGAATACAAGCCTTTAAGTGGACACGGACAAAGTCCATGAAAGTCTGCGCAGCAGTAGCTATTCATCCAGTAGTCAAAAGGTAGTTAAAATCATCCACAACCTGATATTACAAAGAAGAGGTTGAAACAAGAGTTAAGCATTATTAACTCCAGGGCTAATGCGTTAATTTTTACCCTGTTCAGCCTGTAACTCTAGCAGAATTGACTCTGGAGCTAATTCTGTCACTTTCGCCGCTGGTGCAAATAAAGAGTTGACTCTGTAGAAAAAGTTCTTTAAATGCGTCTGTTTGTTTCCTTTTCTTTGTTATCTCCCTCGTCCTGACCTTTAGTTGTCTTGAATTTTGGGTAGGTGAAGGAGGATTATGAAGATAAGATGGTGAGAAAAAGTAACCACCAAACATGAATTAACTCTGGAGTTATATAAATCATGTTCAGTCTACTTTTGTCCTCCTTTTTGTCTATTTGTTCTTTTGTTTTCTTCTTCCCCTTTAGCTGTATTGAGTTCTAGGGCGGTGACAAAGGATTAGGATGATAAGAAGGTGGGACAAACTAGCCAAACATTAATTCTGCAATTTTCTTTTTCACGGTGTCTCTTTGTGCCCTTCTCTTTGTCTATCTCTTTCTTTTCTCTTCTTCTTGACCAAGCCGTTTTTGGTTTTGGGTAGGTGACAGAGGATTAGGAAGATAAGAAGGTAGGACAAACTGGCCACCAAAAAAAGGCTGGAGTCAATTCGCTTTCAGTGCGTCGTCGTGTTTCCTTTTCTTTCTCTATCTCTTTCTTGTATTCTTGACCGTTTAACTAATTAGACTTTTAGGTGGGTGAAAGATGATTAGGACAGTGGGAACAAGTAGCACCAAAACAGAATTATGCAACTCTGGAATCCTGGAATTGATATTTTTTCAGTCTGTCTCCTTGTTTCCTTCTCTGTCTAGATGTTGTTCTTTTGTTTTCCTCTTCACCTTTGGCTGTTTTGAATTCTAAACAAGCGCTCTGACGCTCTGTGGAGTTAATTTTTTCCCCTGTGTCTCCTTGTTTCCTTCTCTTTGTATATCTCTTTATTTTTTCTTTTCTTGTCTTTTCTTTTCTTCTTAACCTTGAACTGCTTCAAGTGTTAGGTAGGGTTAGGAAGATAGGAAGGTGGGAAAAAGTAGCAACCAGAAAAGTTTAAACTCCGGAGTTTTTGTCAGTCTGTTTCAGCAGTTCTAGGTATCTGATAGCTGCAAGTCAAAGGTCCAAGGGCGACATTGGAAGCGAAGCAGCGTGGCACAAGGCTTCCAACTGGCAAGCCCCTTCCCTAGGCATTGGAACTCTCAGAAGCCCAAGGCACTTCAATCTCCTGTCATTTCTCTTTACACTCTGTTATTCATTTTGCTTCACGGGCTTCATTCTCCTCCACGGACAGAGTGAGAGCTAACTGCATTTGAGACTGCTCCCGTGCATCCATGGCTCCAGAAGCAGGTAGTTGATCATCGAAGAGTTTCGACTGATACTTCTGTGACTGTGCCTCCTTGAAGTGCTTCTTGCAGAAGCTTCCACATGTTCTCGGGCTTTTACACCGTGCAGAACGTTGCGTACGGGCCTTGCAAAGATAGATGAGTCCGGAACGGCTCCAGCAAATGCCAAGCAAAGTCTTTCCGAAGTGTCCCTTTGACAAACGCATTTTTCCCAGGCGCACGTAGCAGTAGCTTCAAGCTCTCAGACCGCTTCTGTCCCCCAGGTCTTTCACATTCTTCAGAGAAAACGCATTCCCAGGCCCTGCTTTGATCTCAGCCACGCCATCTTTCTCCAACAGGCACTTGACATGGCGCATTGACTCATCAGTTTCCAGTGCGCTGCGACGCGCAATCAAAAAGGCCATGACTCTTGCTTTGACATCTCCACAATTTCTTCAGGAGAAAAGCTGCGCGACTCATGGTCTTCAGAAACGGAGGTGAGGCTTTCCATCAGGCCATGCCTTCAAGCCGCACGGACCTGTTGCCCCCAGCAGGAGCTCATTGACATTCGTCTTCCAATGCTGAAGATGAAAGATTTTGGTTCTCCTGCTAGTCATCTTGTTCTCCTGCTCAAGCCAATTGCAAGGCCCTAGAACGAAGGGTAGCTCCATTGAGCTGCACCGCGTCTCTATCTCTTGCCATGCTGGCAGCTGTCTGCCCGCTTGGCGGGCCGCAACTGCCATCTTGTAGCCAAAACTCACAATCACAGTACAAGAGAAGACTCACAAGCACATCAGACAAAGAATTGACTCTGGATCTATATTACATATAATTCATGTTCAAGGGGCACAGAAGGCAGGAAACGAGGTCACTCTGGACTTAACTATTTCAAGGTGTCCTGAAGGGGTCTGATACAGAAAGAAACAATGAAGAATTGACTCTGAAATTGCTTCTGGAAAGAAGCCGGGGTGACAAACAACATTAACTTGGGAGTTAATTCAATTTACTGAGGCGCATGCTGATCTGTACCCCAGGACAAAGAATTCAACTCTTGTATTCACTTCATTCTATATTACACATGTATAGTTAAGAGAACCTTACAGCCACAGACTGGGATTGGACAAAACAGTTAGTTGTTCATTGTGTTTTCGTTTGCGTCATCATTTTTTACACGCCCACCTGTGTTTTGTCATGCGTGATTGTGTCTATCGTTTGTGTCCCGTGAACCGAAGGCTGCCAAGTCACCTACTCCGGAACCCTCTTTGCTACAGTACCCTAGTCGGCTAGTCATGTTCTTCTATTTTGCTTTAGCTGTTTTGAAATGTACTTGACTGTCGTTCACGCGTTGCCAAAACTAGCTGAACTTAAACAAAATGAAGACATTCAATTATATGAACACATTCATTAAATTACAATGTTGCCAATTTGTGGCCGAAACTAGCCAAAACGATCATGAAAGACAAAAGAATTCTGGGGCTCAATTGAAATTGCCTCCCCTGAAGGAAAGGCGGCCAAGTCAGCTAGTCCTGAACCCTCTTTGCTAGGCTAGTTGGTTACGGATCCGGAATGAGCAAACAACACTTTTCATGTTTGTTACCCTTTGTTTTTTCTTTTGTCATGTTTCATTTGCTTTTCATTGTTCAGTGTTTTTGTTTATGGTTTTTTTCGTGGGGCATTCTGGTTTTCATTTGGTTCATCATTTGTTCACTTCTCATTTTGGTGTTCATTTTGGTTCATCATTTTTAAATATATCTGTCTTTTTGGTGTTCATTTGGTTAATCATGTTCTTTTCATCTGTCATTTTGGTTTTCAATTGGGTCATGATTGTTTATATTGTTTCTGACAATTTCATGTGTCATTTTAGTTTCATTCAGGGCTAGGGCGAGGGCGTCTCCTCACTAACCTGTTTTACCTCCCATCCCTGTATGACACAAATTTCTGGCCACCAGGCTCAGGCTTTTGGGGCCCAGTGGTTTAGCTCAGCAGCTCGCAAGTTGCATTCCACGATTTTGATCCGTGGTTTCGATTGCTCGGGAAGGGATGGGTGAGGCAATCCCTTCACGCATCTATAGTTTGGGGTGCTGACTGTGACCGAAGTGATTTTAGAAGCCCATGGGAAGTGACAGCAAAGCCAGCCAATTCTGGAAGGATGAACATGATGCAACAAAAAAAATAGAACCGCAAACATATTTTGTAAATTAAATGAAGATCTAAATGAAGATCTAAATGAAAAAATATATCAAATCAATTTTCCATTGCCTGGCTGGCAAAAATGTATAGAAGTATGTGTAATTTAACATTTATGTTGTCCACAAATAGCGAAAGCTATGGGGTCTTACTTCAAATGTAGAATGAGTTGGCTGTGCTTGGTTTGGAGGCAGGGCGTCGGTGCAGGTGCTTGGTGCAGGTACTTTTCTGGGTGTCTCTTTCATCACATACAGTACATGTTTAAAAGGTGCTAACTCGCTGTTCGAAGCATCAACAATACCTTTCTTCGGGAGAACTTCACCATCCAAACACCTTTGTGGAAAACCTGACTCCCTTTCTAGCATGTTGGATTCTACCATGCTATCTCGGCTCTATGCTGTAAGTTCTCGCTGATCTGCAGTTCTGGCTGAGATGTTTTGAGCGGCAAATCCAGAGGGCTGCTAGGTCAGCGGCAACATAGTCTAGCTCATGCCGCGCAGCATGCACCCGTGACCTCGCTGTGGAGCTCGTCACGAGCCCAAGAACATCCTTTCCACAGGGTCTTAACCCCCCGGTGAACAAAGAGGTAGGATACATGAGCGGTGGGTGCCACAGTTTGAGTGCACTCTGAGGCCAGTTCTGATGTGTTGAGGCTATCTGCTCCAGCTTTGTGAGCTCTGCCTCCAAACGATTTTTGGAAATCACAGTGACGTGGAAAACGCTGCGCTTCAGGGTAGTTGCTGCAACATGATCATGGATCCTCTCTCTCTTCTTGCAACCAAAAAGCATCAAAAGACGCTTCAAGACTCAAGACACACATCTGGTTTGTCGCCTCTTGACTTGACACGGTCGTCTTCGCATGTGAGATAGCAGCCTGGCATGACATCAGGTCCACCTCAAATCACCTCAAGTGGTGTTCATTCAAAGATCCAAGCATCATGGTGCCCTTTGGCGCCTCATGGCGCTCAGTCTGCTTCTTTAAGTGTTGCACCAAGTCATCCAAATCGGCTGCCTGTGGCATCTCAAGTTCGCATCATTGTGGGGCAGAAGGCCCAGCTCCGGCCCAGCGCCTTCTTCTTGGAATGCAGGTGCGCTTGTGCACGGTCCTGCAAGAACACATTCGACCGGTTGATCAAAAAACCTGAAATTGGATCTTGGCCTCAAACGGCCCATCAAAGCAAACATATTATTGAAACGCAACTGGAGCACGGTGATTTCAAATGGAGCCAACGGCAGAACCTGTTTGATCAAGCAGATAGTCGATGAGTCGATGAGTCGCTCGCCCATCTGATCATGGGGCAACTACTCAAATGAAGGACATATTCGCAAAAGTTTGGAAGAGGTTCCTTCTCGCAAGGACACTGCATACATGTGCATACTGATGGGTCTCTTCCCAACATTCAAAAGTGGAAAGAGTTGCTTCGGTTCATCCCGAAGGGTCAGGGGCTTTGCCGGTCTGAAGCGTGATATTCGTCGATGAAGGCATCGTGCTTTCACACGGTTGGTTGAAGTGGTTGGTCGAAGTACTCAAGTATTCTGATTCATTCTCTCCACGGCGCTTTGTGAGCCTATGTGAGCCTCCAAACATACCTTTACAACAAGTGTCATACTCACCAGCAAAGACCCCACCACTGCTAGAATTTTGGCAGAGATCGTGTTGGCCTCCAGCCAGCACGAGGTCACATGGAAACCGTGACCACCTGCAAAGCTTTCTTGGACTGTGACTCACCGTGCAAATCGGCCAAAATATGGTGAGCATGGGCAAGTCCTGTTTGATCCTGTTTGATAGATTTTGCAATCTTTGAAGAGTCCTTGCTGGAAGACAACTGTTCCACGGTGTCCCACAAACGTTCCGGCGCTGTTTGCACGGTTCCTTCTTGGTGCAATAGGACAGTTTTTTTGAGCACCTCATTGTTTATTGCATAAACTATGGGGGCTCTCCGCACTGTGCAATGAAATCGTAAACAAGGCCCTTGCCTTGTCTACTCTCGCGGAAGCATGTTTTGGAAAAGCTCGTGCTTGTGAAGCTTTTTCAAGCAAGTGAGGGCAAAAGTCGCCCTTCAGCTTCGAAGAATGTAGACTTCGAAGCCTACAGTAAGACTTCTGGTCTTCCAAGTCACTTCTGGCATCATGACACCTCGAAGCCAACAGCCTCAGAATTCTCCAGCAGTGAAACGTCAAGGCCTGGCAGGACTCCAAAGGCATCCTGGCGACAGCTCTGAAGCGACACGCTCAAGCAACACGGCGAAAACGGCCAACACACATCAACAATACATATGTTACTTAAATTTACTTGATCAGGATATCCGATGTCCTGCCTGTGGCCCAAGCTTGAAGCTTTGATAGCCATATGTCAGAGCATTGATCCAGCCATTGCTGTCAAGGCACCTGATGCATCGAGAGTGCTAGCCAAACGGTTTCCGTGGAAAACCAAACGGTGCAAGAACTGTGCAAGCACCGCTTGCGCTCGCGCCGCTTGTGCCCACTTGTGGCCAGGTCTCCTTTGAAGTCTCCTTTTTCAGGATCTGTTTCTGGTCGATTTCAACGCGATGGTGTGATGAGTTCATTTCGATTGTACGATTCAGCGCGCTGTCAACTGCAGTGCTGGCCTGGTGTTGATTTCACCGAGTGTGGGTGACTGAGCACTGGTCTCTAAGTCTCTGACACGGCGGCAACCCAATGGTGTAGTCCATGTCCGGAGTCCTGCAGAAGGTGCTCGTTGACTCTCCAAGAAGCGAAAAACTCACTAGGCTTGATTTCAATGCAAGCTGCTGCTTGGGGTCTCTCTATTTAATTGGTGCCGGCCAACATCCACATGAGTCGAAAGAGACTGCTTCGAATTGGGGCTTTGATTGCCTCCCCAAGTTATCGGCAAGAGACCCCAAACACTGTGTGTGTGCGGTCTATAGAGGTGTAGCAACAGAAAGTCTATATAGAGATCTAGACGCATTGGGGTCCAGAGAGGTGATGGTGGTGATGAAGGTGGAGATTGTGGTGGTGGTGATGGTGGTGGTGGTGGGAGTGAGAGTGAGAGAACGTCTGAGAGCACGCGTCAGATACCACAGAGTGCGATCGAGAGCTCTTCAGATCGAGAGCGTCGAGGTGCACAAAGTGCTGCACCTGCCACAAAATCTGCACTTCGAGGTTCACAAATTGGGGTCGCTGCCACGAAATCTGCACTTTGTCCCTGCCACAAAATCTGCACTTTGAGGCTCACAAAGTGCTGCACCTGCCACAAAATCTGCACTTCAAGGTTCACAAACTGCTGCCCCTGCTATGCAATCTGCACTTCGAGGTTCACAAAGTGCTCACGAAATCTGCACTTTGAGGCTCACAAAGTGCTGCGCCTGCCACGAAATCTACACTTCGAGGTTCACAAGCTGCTGTCCCTGCCACGAAGTCTGCACTTCGAGGTTCGCGAAGTGCTGCGCCGCGCCACAAAATCTACACTTCAAGGCCCGACAAAGTACTGCACCTGCCACAAAATCTGCAAAAGAGCCACGTGTTCAAAAGTCACGATTCACTGCACCTGTCACGAAATCAGAGCGCCTCGAAGATCACCACCATCACCATGTCCGAAAATGCGCACGGTACCACAACGAGAGGCATGAATGTACTGTAAATAGCAGCGAACTAGCCGCACACGCCCGCGCGACACCTTGATTAGACACCGGTGCTTAACACTTACCGTAAGAACCGTGTGTCCACACTGTTTGGGGAAAAAAAGTAGATGGTGAAGAATGGCCTTAATAGGCCTTATATAATCTTATATATACATAATTGGATGCGAAGAAACATGATCCACCGCCATTGGCCATCGGGCCACCTACCACAAAAACACCACATCTCCTTGAAGTAGTTCTTGTGGATGAACCACGTTGGGAAAACCTTCAGTGCAAAGCTAGGAGTAACATGAAGTAACAAAGAAAACGGGCCTGATGGTCTCATGGCCACAATTGAGCAAGACAAAATGAATGTGTTTTGCTTGGTAAGCCTGAGCAGATTCCACAATCTTCACCGGCCAATCAGTCGGCACGTGCACACAGTGAGCGGACCAACCAAGGGACGGTAATGGTGAAGTTCAATGGATACAATAAAGCCTGGAAGGATGTGTTCCAAACCACGTTGTTGTTGCATCTCATCCGTGTCACTTGCACCACAGCCAAAAGATACCTGCAAAGTGCAAACGATTTTGGATTCACCATGGTCGTCATGCAAAGGACGTTTCAAGCATGCCACACAATCAAAAGTTTCAAATGCTGCCGAGAAGCAGCGTGAAAGTGGCGACAAAGCAAGCTGCCATAACTAAAGCCACCACCTTGCTTCGACCCAAAGTACAAACTGCATGCAACTTCATCCCTCGGTTGGAGGTTGGATTTCTGTGACGAACGCGAACATATGGACTCTTGGACCCTGTGTATTTGCACACTTGCACCCCCCGTGAGTTCCTGTTGTGTCAACTGTGAATAGTCCGGTGGTCCTCAGTCGTATCTAATCTACCAGCAAATTGCACTGTGCTACTGGACTAATTAGATGTCTTGTGGGTTATTGATATCGGTTGCTCAAAAATAGGGTGCCACCAAAAACCTCCTTCTAAAGCAAACGTTGACCAACATCTGCAGTCTGCAGGTCAAACAAATTCTAGGTATTGGCCGTCTTTCAGCCATGACGAAGAGCAGTCTGCGACGTGTGCTTTAGATGTCGCGGAAAGGTGTGTTGCTCCCACGTGTTCGAGGACGGACTGTGAGACTGGGTGGGACAAGACTGCCAGCATCTGCTCAGACTCTCCACCCTTCTTCGATAAGTCACTGGAGCTGAACCGGTGATTTGCCCGGACCGTAGAACTTTCCTAGGTGCTTTCAAGAAGTTGCACAGAGGACCAACTGGTCGTTTCATGTACACAGCTGCGAGCAACGAACCATTGTGTAGCATGCCAAGTCGGCTGATGCAGTTGTGACTCGTGTGCTGTTTCAATGTTGAATAGTCCAGTACGACCAAGAAGGCTGCCACCAGCCAGCTGTAGGGAAGCACCTTGCATGAAGTCATGCATGGAACGTGTAGAAATGGATAACACTTGAACAGCTTTGTGCGGTTTCCCCAAATAGCGAACGCTTTCGAAAGAGAACAGTCTGGCGGGTGGAGACCAAAACCAAAGAAGAATGAACAACGTCCACCCAGGCAGAAAGAATTGCCCAGGAGCTGAATTTCCAAACCATGATTTACAATACCAGTAGGATCATGTCCATGAACTTCCCAACATCTCATGTCATTGAATGGTAATAATATGCAAAACTAATTTGATGAAAGACAAGATATCGTTGCCGTGTTGCATCGACCGTCATTGTCCGAGCAGCTTTACCCAGTCGCGTGGCGATGCTGAAGTTTCTATAGCTGGCGGTCGCCACGGTGGCAGCGATTTGCACCTCTACTAGACCTGCGGTCGCAGGTCTGTGATGCAGTGCCCGGTTGCAGCTGCCGAACCGGGCGTGAAAACTGGGAGATCCCCAACGCTGTGATCGTAATCTGAGAAAACTCGGCTTGACGACTGTTTTGCGCGCTAATAAGGCGCCAAGCTTCAGAGAGTGATCAGGCAGAAGTGGATTGCAGCCCTGACGCGATATGCCTGGGCTCGCAGTCCAAACCATGAACAACTTGTCAACAGCTCCGGTGTTCGTTCAATCTCTGCTACTCGGTGAAACAATCAATGTTCAGAATTCTGCCCGATCGCCAACAAAAAAGGTAGCTTGCTTGGCTTGGCAGTTTGAAGTTGTGTCTCCAAGCTCTGAAATTGCCAAATCCAAGGTGCAACCTCCAGGGAAGGTGGCTCCAAGAACATGACATCGTGCGGAATCCTTGGTAAAAGCGAGCGATTCTGGGTGCCTGGTGCTCTACTGTCTTACCAATCAGCTTGGGTACTCTGAGAACATCAGCTGGATAGATGCATGAACCTTGGAACGGTCTCAGCAACAGAAAGCTAGACTTCCTTGCTCTTACCATAAAAGTATCTTCTCTTTCAGTGCTTGGAAGTCTCCTCTATTCTCCAACTCGACTCAAACATGCAAAAATCATCCAGCATCCGGGTGCTTCAAGAACGGATGAACCAGGTGTTGTCCGTGTCCTTCAAAGGAAAGGAAAAGTCACCAAAGACCGGGCAAAAAATGCTAGCCGCACGAGCGCAAAATGGGGGTGTGGGTGTCGATGGAGAAAGACCACGCCCATCTTCATTATTTTTCCTTCAAATTCTCGTGAAGAAAATTGAGCACCCGGCGCAATCTGCTAAACCCAGGTGCCAAAGCCTCAAAAACGCACAGCTGCTGTTTGCAGACTACTAAGCCCCTTGAAGAGCCGCCACTATGGACCGTTACAATCCTCAAACGTCCAATTGTCGAAGCCAAAACACACTTTAGCCTTCTATGCACCTTCTATGCATTGTTCAGCTCATGCGACGACCTAACTTTACAGTCCCCGGCAAACGACCTATCATTGTTTCCGGAAAGCAGGAAATGGGATGGGTCAAAAGTCTATTGGAACACTGTTGGGGCAAGTGCAAAAGCTCTCACTGGCAGCAAAAGCCTGATGGTTTTCCGTGTAAAGAGGGCCTGCACGTCGTTTAAACAGGACCCAAAGTACAACAGTGCTTTGAAGCAGAGCAAAAGGCACGTAATCAACATCCAACAATCACAGGTTCCCCGCTTGACTGAGACTCTGACTGCCTGCTGGACAAAAGCTTCGAAACAGGCGAGCAAACTTTCAGCAGCCAAAGGCTGCTCACTATGCTGGCCTGACAGAGGCTGTTGCATGGTGTTGCCATTTGGTACAGGAACCAAAGGCAGAACCCAACTGAAAGGCATTAAAAAAATCCTTTGCAGGATAGCGATGGGATCAACTGGAGCCTTTCAATCGACCCTTTGGCAGCTACAGAGGTTGAAAATCGGTCAGACCCTTTGCAGGCACGGCACAAGCAAAGCAAAGAATTCAACCCAAGGTCCAGGGGACCACAGGGCGGCCATGGGCATGATGCCAGGGTCCATGATACATGAACCGAGTTTGGTGTTGTCAATCTGGGCCTCTGGAGAGCTGCTTAGTATTTTCCAGCTATAATATGTGTATCATCTTGTATCTATTGTTTGTTCTAGTTCTTAATTTTGGGGGACATGTATATTTATTGGACATATTTGGCTTCCAACTTGAGTGTGTTCGTGCAAGCTGGTCGAAAATGCATCTGTCCTCAGCATGTTCACCTTAATTGATATGACAAAAGCTGCGGTCCAGTCTTCACTGAGAAGCAAATTGCATGTTGGCACAAGTGTGTGTGTGTGTGTGTTTTGTCGTGTGTGTATTCCAAGATAGTTGGACTCCCATGTTTGAGGTCAGAAAGTCTACCATTCACCTGTTGCCACGTAATTACGATACACATCTCCCTGGAGAACTCAACACTCATAATGATTGCACATATGTACCCTCAGTGGCCTGGTCAACCACCAGACATTTGGGATACAGTAATTTGGGCTGCACAGTCTAGAAAGTCATCCCTAACGCATAAAGTAAATTGGATCGATTTCTTGTCTTTTCTGGCAAGAAATCCGGGAATCCATTGAGCCACACCGACACCTAACCCTTTCATGATATTCACAGGACCTTTCGCTGAGTGTTAAGCCAAAGTCTTCCTCTCCCTTCCATACATCATACATGGATTAAAAGCTTCTTCAAGAATGATAAGGGCGTTTGATGCATTGCGGTTCACTTCCCGTGACTTACCATCACGATGGCCAACATGGTGGTAAGTCATACGACCTGTTGGCGGGGACTGGGGACCGTCCTCCGCTGTCCCGTCGGTGTTGGATGTGTTGGATCCGATGTTCGCTTTGGAGCGAAAACCAGGAGTCACTGAAAAAAGGAGTCGCTGTGATCAAACGATATGATATACGATATTTGACATATCAATTCTAATTAAACTGAATCCTAATTACTTTAAAATTCTACTTGATTTCTTGTTTCTAATAGCAAACATTGTTCCTAGTAGTATGGCCAGGAGCCCCTAGTAGCGATGCCCTTTGCTCCTAGTAGCTTCTTATACTGATATGCTATATATAATATGCTATATAATGATATGAAATGATATGAAATGATATGAATCTCCTGGTGGTGCTGATCCAGCTGAGCCAGCTGATGCTGAAGACTCTCCATCTCCTCTCGCCTGAAACGTCGCTGGAACGTGTCTCTCCCTGTCTCGCCGACCTCATGTCTCGTCCTGTCGACTCGTCCTGTCTCCCTGGGAACCTGACAAGTGACATTCGAGTTGAAAGCCACTGGCGGAGTGCTCTTCCAGCTCCTCAGATGTCGGAGCTCGGTTCAAATTTTTCGTGTTCACAGCTGCTCAGTTCATCTGCTCTTCACCAAATCAGGCTCCGGCTCGTGCCTCCCGCCTTGAGACGGCCAAGGCGAGAGCTTCAGTCTGCAATGGCCTCAACATACGTCCGAGCTTCCGTCCTGCCTCGATGGTGGTTGCCTTGATATGTTTGTTGACCAGACTCTGTGAGCGAATCTCTTTGGTCATTCACCCGTTCGACTTTTGTGCACGCATATCATGATACTTAAATGTATTAATTAGGAATCATGAGTATTGTGATGTATTGTGTCAGATTGATTGATTGCCTGTCCTCTGCAGGGTGCATTTCTCCACCCTTTTCTGTCTGGTTGCTTGCATTGACTGTGCAACATGCTGCCGCAGCAAAGTCAGTTTTAACGCTTAGTGTTCCCCTAGGTCAATCTAGTCAGTCCAATCTCGTCAGTTTCCCTTCTTGGCATCCAAGCTCTTCATAGCTCGACCAGGCTTCCATTGCCTGACAAAAACGTGACTCAGCTCGATCGATCAAACCTCCCCCTTTTTTCGGTGCCTCTTCCCTCGCTGATCTCAGGTACATCTCAAGGGCTGCCACCTATCATGAAAACGACCGAAACTGGGTTCGAAAGCTGGTCCAAGGCATCCCTGCGAGCACGCCACGTTTGGAGTCACTTGAAATACCTCTGTACAACCAGCAACTATACTCATACACTGCACCGACTGAGAAGCAGGCATTCTCCTCCGTAGCTCCATACAGGAGAGCCCTCGATGTCCAAAAAACAATTGATGGCTTTTTTATGCTTTTTTCATCTCAGAAGAATCGGATACCTAAAACAATGCGAACCTTTCTGACAGCCCCGAATGTGGATCCCAAGCTTTCGGACTAGGCGATGCCCATGGCGAAACCAAAACTGCGAGCTTCGGGGAGCTTCGTTCTTTGCTGGAAGCAGAACAGAACAGGCAAACTTGGCCGGGAAACGGAGGGGCAACGGACGCATCGTGACAACAGATAGTCCAACCTGGTCGCCTCAACATGTTTCAACTTACTTTAACCCCTTTCCTTAAACTGGTTTTAAAAACTTTCTCAGACAGAGACTGCCTTTGCCACTGACCATGCTGACCGCTCAGCTGCCGAGATGCTCGGACAAGACCTCCTCTCGGAGGCTCTTGGACTGCTGACGCCTGGCTCTCGGGAGATCACCCACCGCAAGGTCCGGGGAGCGGACGGAGGACCGGACGAGAACCCTAGAGACAGAACGCCAAAGAATCCTAAGAACATCCAAAGACCAGATTCTCATGACATCTTGAAGCCAAACAATTGAACTAAAGTATACTAAAGTCAAAAAGATTGCAAATGTATAAATGTAAAGAAAGACTCTAAAGACATGACATGACAAATCACGAATCACTGTTGTTGGGGGCCAAACTTCAGAGCCTCTGGTGTCCCTCAATGTCTCTTGTCTGTCAGATTAGGATCTGGCGCTTCTTGGGCTTCAGACTCCAGCTGGGCCACAAGTGCCTCAAGCTAGCCCAAAATCGGAAATCCACATGATGTGAAGAAAAGCAAGCGCTCGCAATGAGTCAGAATTCGGAACTTCTTCACGTTGTTGAAGTCATGGCTCCGAAAACAAGCCCAACAAATCTATTATGATGATCTATGAGTTATATCAAGCGGAGTTCCTCTATGCTTCACCTTCGAATATGCACATGACTGGCCGTTCCTCCTTGTTCTGCAAAGCCTCCACCAGAGATCTGGCGCAGCTTTTGGCGTTGCCATGAAGATCGTGCGTGACGTGTAGCGTTTCTGAAGATCTGAATAAGAACCAATAATGGGATATAATCCCATAGTGGGAATAGTGTTCCATGGCGTTATAGTGGGTGGTTTATGGGATCTGATATAATGGGATATAATGTCATTTGTTATTGAAGGATCATCAAAAACAAATGACATTACACAATTGTACATTCCAATCTGCTCAATGCGATGTGTTTCTCCAATGGCTTTGTGGTCAAGTTGGTTTCTTTGACTCTAAATCTGATAGTTGACTGCACTCTGCCATCTCACACAACATTCCCATTCCTTTGCATGTCTATATGGATGTTTGTGGAGCCTCACTCACAGTGACTCCAAATCACAACGCTTTGGTACCCCACCTGTACGAGCGTGTGACAGCCATCAGCTATCCGAGCGAAGGAGCAAACACCCTCGACGTTGGCATTGCTCGGTTGTCTCTGTTGCCTCCACATCAACTAACCAACCGAACGAGTTGTCAAGTCAGTCACATGACCACATAAGCACTTCATTGTGTGTGTGTGTGTCACAAGTTGTCACTTTTGAATGTACTGCGAGCAACAAACTGTCATACCAAATGCAAATGGTTCAACCAAGCCAACTAGTGTAACTGCGGTGTGGTCAAACTGCACTCTCATATTTCTGCCTGACATGCTTCTTCGCAAGTGGTTTGACGTGGTTTGTCTGTGCATACCGGGCAACCAATCTTCATTGATGAATCTACTTCAATCTTGACGAGCCACTTTGAGGCGGCCTCAAGATCCTGTTATTGTCAATGCCGTCTGTCGTGCTGCACATGCTTTGCACTTCAAGTGCCGTCTGGACATGCTGTTGAACACAGCTGACACGGACGGTGGCTGACACGTCTTTTCGTCTGACGATTCCTCAGCCAACTCCGAGGAGTGAGACGAGTCTCAGAAAGCCCCGCACTCTGCGGTGCGAAGCTCAAAGGCCTCAGCTTTAAGAGAATAGCTTTGCGGGTTGGCATGTTCAAGGGTGCAACAGGCAAACTGGAGCATATCGTTCATTTGGTGAACGCAGCAGGAGCTTCGAGCTTTGATCACAGGGCTTTGAATAACTCTAATTTTGTTCAAAGCTCTGGAGAACTGTATCGTTCTAAGACTTCTTTCTTCTCGAAGCCTCAGCGCCGTCTCTTCGGATGGGCTGCATTTTTCCTGGCACAAGGGAGAGGCATGAGCACCTGTTCAGAGACGGTATGACATGGTGGAACATACACTTGCTGGCCTCAACGTTTTGATGTGGCCCTTCATCGTCTTCAGCTTCTGCTTGGCTGTCCTGGCCTTCTTCTCCTTCACCGCTCTGCCTCAGCATCAAAGGTGTGGGAGACTGTTTGGGTGTATTGAAATAGGGACCCCCTCAAACTCCCCTTTCCAACACACTGTGATGTGGTATAGGATGGTACAAGTACAAATGTATTGCCCTGTGGCCTCTCTTTCTACACTTCCTTAGCAGCCTCATCCAATCCTGTCACATAGTTCAACTTGTACATGATCAGTTGATTTCCTGGTTTTCCCAGGAAGCTTTTGTGAAGATAGGTCTTCAATATGATTGTTTCCACGAGCTACAGCTGTTACAGTTCACCAGTGCAGTCTGCATAGTCTGCATGTCCCTTTGCGATGGCACCCCTTTCAGGATGGCAACCAATTCAACGCCTCGTCGTGGTCAAGTCAGAATACTAAAGGTGGCAGGTGACTGGGAATCGTATATGAAGCTAGTGATGATTGATGAGCGTACAGAGAAGAATTCAGATGAATTCAGCAGGGGTCTGTATCTCAGATATATCAGCCGAGGTGCTCTGCAAGGTCATCAGAAGCGGCTTGTTCCGCGCATTCTCCTTGTTGGTCTTGCCACCTAAATCACAAGACTCCAACACATGGAAGATAGGCCGTGGCCATTGGAGATGCAACAAAAGAGACACTATTCCGCGCACCCTTGCGGTTCTTGGCGCGCTCAATTATCGTCTCTTTGAAATCCGTGCGGCCGGCCCTCACCTGAAACATCGAGCCAGAGGCTTAAAGTTCGACTTGAAATCAGCGAAAGAGAAACCACATCCAAGCATCAAACAAGACCAGCTTTATCACATCATATGAATCATGTGCGCTTGGGATTCTTTGAGCAGTTTTCCTCAAGTGGCGTCCAAGGCGACTCCTCATCTATCATTGTTGCGGCGTTGTTGTCCGATCTTGTGACGGAAACAAGCTCAATATCAAACTCAATGGGGAGTTAAGCACATGACAGGCACATTGACCCAGATGGGTACGTGTTGACTCCCCAATACTCCCAACTTAAAACTTTGCCACAAACGTCTGCAACCTAGTCTGTGCAACACAAAGCGTTTGAATCTTGTCTGATCGGGAGTGACTGCAGCGCAGCGTCGTTTTCACCGCTGAAGAGCGGCTTCTCAAAACGGTCGAGCCGCGTCAAAGCCAACCTATCTACCAAGCTGGCGGCGCTCGTGCCATCGGTGGCAAGAGTCCCAACAAATGAGATTGATCGAGATGAATCGATGAACAAGGTTTTTGGTTTAACAAAGCAAGCAGGCGATCCTTGGTTGTACTAGATCGATCTAGATGGTGTTGAACAGGTTCGTGACAAAACTGGAACAAATATATGGCCCTCGGTTGTCCTACAGTTCTCAATCTCCTTCTGGGACTGCCAACTGCTTCAAAGAAAAGAGGGGAATATGACGTTCGCCATTTCCCGCCGTAGTGCACCCAGTCTGGATTGGATCTGGTGAGCCAAGTACTTGGCACCAGCCAGACGTGGGACTTCCGACATTTTACCTGACAAAACGCAGAAAGAAAAGAGCAGAACAGCCCAGAATCTAGAATTAGAAGGCGTTCCTTTGGCCTAATTACTGTACTCTAATTATGCGAGTCAAACAAGTTGGGAAGGCAATTATTTTTGCTAGCAGGTGGTATTGTAGGTGTCTTGAGCGCATGTGCCCCTTCCCTGTTCCCTGCACTGTGCAGCCACAGTTGCACCGCACATGAAAATCATTCTTAGAGTGCCATCGTAGACCTTTGGCCGCTCTCCAAGATAGGTATCTTTCCAGGCAGAATGCGAACCTGCAGAAAGACAGCAGGGACTACTTGTTTGATTCACATCAGTGTGTAGATATATACGTCCTAGTAACAAAAAGCTTGACCTGGAACTTCTTCAAAACTGATTCTCAGAGTCAGCATCTCTCCACTCCGGACAAGCATGCAGTGAATTTAGTTGCGCTAACATCGGGTTCGCTTAATCTGCAAATGCAACATTCTTGTGCAGTCCTGTTAACTGCCGTTTTGAGGTTTAATGCAACCCAAGCAAAACGACTTAAACCATGGCTATGAAGTAAAACAAGCAAAAATGTAAAAAATCAGCAAATTTTGCATATTCACTTCAAAACCTGGCCCAGAAGCATGGTAGTGGAAACAGCTCACAACTTCAGTTGTATCTGCTTCCCAATGCGGTGCCATCCTTTGGCAAAATACGAAGCCAAGCAACGCGTCCCACATTCGTACTGTTTGTTGGTTTTTCGAAGACTGGAGTAGAGTACATGTTTGACACTTCTTCTCAAAGGAAAATAACGGCGTCTACTTCTCAGGCAAAATCCCAACAGCTCTTCCCGGCCAAGTGTCTCAATTGAAACTTTGGGCCATCCACTCTCACTATCTTTCTCAGCTCGGGCCACCTCAACAACAAGCGTGAGCAAAAATCATAGGTCTCAGGCCAGGCTGGTTGGCTGAGATCCTGACACCTGGAAACCAGCCCAGTGTCACGCCACGGTAGACTTCCTCACGATCTCACGATCTCACGTAATTTTCAAGCTGCCAGGCAAACAGGCCAAGACTTTAAGACTGCCAGGATTTTTCAGGTTGCTGCGAAATGAAGCCTTTTGCATTCGGTACCATGACCGTGTTTGACCTGATTCTCGATCCGCCAGGTGGCGACGGCTTGACCGTTGGGAAATCTTGGACGTACTTGGTCCTGAGGCACACGGAGGTTTGCTGAACATTTGTTCGTTTACGTCTGCCTATTTAGCCCATTTGACCTCTCAAAATCATTCAAAATCCACATCAGCTTTGACCAGGGACCGCTTTTTCGGCTGCCTAAAGCCAACTGCTGGTGCTCTTGACCAGTGACGGTCGCCGGTACTGGTGCGGTTTGGTCTAAGGGCTCCGGAGGAGTGCGGAGGTCATCGTATGTTGGTGAGTTCATCGGAAAGAACATGGACTGCTTAGTGCGGTAGTTGGACCCCAAAGTTGCGGATTGTGTGTGATGGTGTTCAATTGGCGACTGCGCGGGCCATGGTTGTGAATAGCCTCCAGCTGTTCTCTTTCAATATAGCTTCGATTGGGTTGTCGGGTCATCAAAGCCGAGCATCTGCAACAGCTGTCACTGACTTGCCACTGAGATTATATGAACCATTCTCTAGCAGATTGACCGTATAGCCTAGCGCAGGAGCATCACATGTCTACATCAAATGTCGCACAGCAGATCGCCTTTCACATTGAAATCAACAACATCGGTTGTGCAATATCATGCCAAAACAATTGAAATCCAATTGTCCACAATCGCCTTTCAACATCAGAAACGACAGTTCAAGGCGATTCATGTTCAATTCACCAACCTGGCCGCCTGGCCTAGTGGAAGAGCTTGCCTTGAACTAACGAGACCAGGAAGCCATTCCTGTGAGGAAACTGTGAGGAAACTTGTTGCTTCACTTGTGGAATTCTCGCATGTTCCGGTGGTTTTTGAAGTTGAAAAGGATTGAAAAGGAAGTGTCATCCAAATTGCTCGCAAAGCTTTCAGAATTGGAATGAGTTGGATGAAATTAGACGGAACCTTCTTTGGCATCCCTATGGCATCTTGCGGTTTCTTTTGAGGCGCACCTTGCCAACTTGGACACTCACTGGACAGTTTTGCTTGAAGGGCTCTCGCAAGAGGCTCAGGTCCACCTGCACAAATCGAATCAGACTGATTGCTAGTAGCTTCTTGCTCTTAATAGCGATGGCCTCCAACCTACTAGCGATGGCCTCCACCTACAGTAATAGCATCCTTGCATGTACTGTATAGCCTTCAAACATTCAAAATGCATGTTTCTTCAAGATCATCTAGTAGCCATGGACCATTCCATACAGCCCGATGTCATCTTGGCAATGAATGCTTGGATACTTCGACGATGTGCTTCCGCATCGAATGAACGCCAAGGTGCAAACTCCCGCTTCTGTCTATGAAGACCTCCCAGTTTCAGGAGTATCGTGTAAGTTGGAATCGCTTCACCATCGCCGAGGCGTCCAATTCCATCGATGCATCCTTGTATCCTGGCTGATACGGTCAGAGAGCCACCGCAAGTCTGTTTGTGGGGTAAATTACACTTCCAAGATCGTTGCAAGTCCAAGTGGCCACTTTTGATGCGTGCTCGAAAAGTATTCGATATGCACCTCATCGCCATAAGCTTCGTAGCCAATGCCTGATTTGGTCCTCTTGAGTTCATCAGGGCTATCCACATCCACCTCCACCAGAAAGTCCTGAGACCGGGATATGAAGGCCGTCGGGAGGCGAAACACCGCACGCCACGCCGTCTTCCGAAAGGACCACCCGTCATGACCGTGACTCGGTCGCGGGGCCTCATGGTCCCATTCTTTGATCTCGCTGGTGGCCTCTACCTCGCTGAGCTCGGCTTCTTCCTCCGCCTGGGAGATCAAGCAACATCGAAGATGTCTTCGCTGAACAGTGCAGTGCCAGTTTTCTGTTCCGGGATTGGTGAATATGCAAGACCAGGCGGGGACTCTAAAGAGGCCAATTCGATGAAGTTGCAAAACGGTGACGGGATAGACGGATTCGGATGAGTTGCCACACCTAACAAAGTCTTGAATCCGGAATGAGCACTGTCACTGCATCTGACATTTCCCCAAAAAGCACGCACAATGGATGCGCATCTACAAATTAGCCAAGCCTAAACACCAAGGAAGGCTTCCATCGCGTTCAATCTACATACCCCACAAGATCCCAGAAGAGAGGCCAAGCCATGATCTCTCGAGAAACGTTTGCCATGCTTCGTCCATCTTCAATTGACAAAACGTTATCTTGATGCCTTTATGTTTGCGCACCGGGGAGTTTGAGGGAAACTCCAAACTAGGCCCAGGACCAACTTGACAACTACTATAACTACTTGTCACTTGCTGCATATAATAGCATTTACGGTGACAGAAAGAGCGTCGTGCAGTGCAGGAACGTGTCTAATTGCCAAGAAATCCCAGCATCCTCTACTTTGGTGCACTCAGCCTGTAGATGCCTGCAGACTGTTCTTTATTCGTAGAGTGCAAAATGAGTGTAAACTGGGACAACCACCAGGTTGGCACTAACTTCCCAACCTCAGAGAGCTTCCTGCTGCGGACGCTTTTCGGCGTTTCGCTGCCAATCTTCCTCAGGCAGAAAGAGAGATCACGAAACGGACGTTTTAGGGTTCACAAGTGAGCGGCTAAACAGCCCCCCTCATCCTAAACAGAACACAAATGCTGCATGGGCTAAGGGTGTGTCTTGATGTCTGGAGATGCGGCTTCTGTCAACAATATTCCGGTTCCTGTGACATTGAGCGCAGATCCACTTCCTTGGATGTCACGGGTGTCATGGCCCTTCTGTCATGGAGATCCAAAGAAGTACAGCATGCTGTTGCTTGATCCACGAAGGACGTTGACAACTCATTCAGGTGATCAGGGCAAACATGCACAACAACCGGACCGGATCAAGTCTGCCAGGAACAGAACAAGCTTGGGTCTCACCAAAACAAATACAAGTAGCGACCCTTCTCAAACTCGAAGTTGGCTTGCTGAGCTTGTTCCTTAGTCTTACCACAACACATGTTAAATGCAGCTGCCTCAACCTGTGGTGAATGATGCCTTTCCCAAACTCCAGAATTCCTCAGAATTCTAATTAAATTACATATGAATCACCGCTGAATCATCCAATTCTGGCCAATGCACCGCACTTGCTCCCACCCAAAAAATGCACGCCACCATGCCCGTGCACCACACCTTGCCCCTGGGCCCCATGGCTGTTCTTGCCGAACATGGCTAAATATATGCTGATAATGCACTTTTGAAACCTCTGTCTGGGAGAGCATGCCTAGTGTGTATCTCTCAAGCAACCTGCTTCTTATTGCTTCTCAAGTAGTGCGCTTGAGAGTGGCTCAAGAGGTTGGAAGGATCAGTTCTCCTTCCACAACGGCCCCTGGAGTCCAAATGTGGTACACATTAGGTTTTGCATCCCTGAAATTCCCTTTTGCTTTCTGTGTGTTGACATGAACATGTCAACACCAGGAGGACGCATCACTGGCATCATTGCATGCAGCAAATCCGCAATGGCTGCAATGGACGCTGGAAACTGCAAATTGTGAGTGAGGACCAAACGAATATGAAACTCTTGCTGCCAGTGATCTTTGTTGGTGCAAGGATCTTAGGACGTTCCAGCTGGAAGAAAAAAGTGTT